CAGAGGTCCTGATCCAATCAATACGATGTATTAACACATCTCCCATCGCTCCTTCTCTGGGGGCCCCAAAGCACATCTGGAAAGTTCTGGGGAATGCAGCGCTGAAAGCTGATTCTTTTCAGAATCAAACCGAGTCCAATTAATTTTTCATGTATACTTGATAACCATTTTATAATGAGGTGTGTACTTCTTGACGGATATACAGAGTCAGTACAGACCGCCTGCATTTTCTATCCCCATTCAGTCCTCTTCTAGTAACCAATCCATTAATCAAACAATCTGGCATGGAGCTTGAAATCTCAGCTCAGTGGTGATCAATACCATCCTTTAAAAAAATGAACCAGGTTCCAGCAAAGCAAGGCTATCTGGCCATTACATCAGCTATGGCTTCAGGGGAAAATATAAAAAGCGCAATTATCATCCAGTTACAAAAAAAATAAATTGCCACTGTATTACACTAGATTTTTCTGCTATCCCTTTAAGGCTTGCAGTCCCATTTCTGCATTGTGTTTAAACAATTACAAGGTTTAAAATTGGGGAAATGTTCAGTGATCACCTTTTAATTAACCTTGTGATTCATTTAAAATTTATGTTGATCGCTGAACGAAACTATTTTTTTGTAATGAGCAAAACGTCTTGAGATTTAAGGCCGAGATAAAAAACTGACCATCTTGTAAATCAAGAAGGAATCAAATCACATTTCCCTGCTCTTTTCCTCAAGCAGTGCCAATGAACTCTGGGCATTCCTCTCTATCCGCTATGGAACTACAGGGCAAATTCCATCAAAACTGTTTGCAGCATTACTGACACTCTGGATTAGTGCAGCCAATGTAAAGTGAAATGCAAATTTCAAAAGCTTTGAAACTCCAGAAATGCCTTTCTGACATTGAAAGCTTTTGAACATTCATTGAGCTGTAGAATTTTTAAATCACTTTACCAGTTCCGAAATTCTTCACCGGTTGGAAATGTGTTTATAATATGCAGATCAATGGTAAAGATTTTTTTGGGATAGATTACAGACTAAATATTATTTTTCATACTTAAATCTGTGCTTAGAAGTCACATAACAGAGCAGTTATTCGCCCATAAAGGTAATTAACCTGTAGTCCAATGATTACTCCATCAGGGTTAATGGTCTCTGAACTTCAATAAAGCTGTCACCTGCCAATAATAGCTACTAAGCCCTAGTCGTAATGATATTCTCCACTATCTGCAGTTGGTTATGATATAGCAGTTAGAGTGGTCCCTTGTCCATAACAGCTGATGAGTTCTAACTCTGAAGTCTCCATTAAATTTGATTAGCTTTGAACCATGAAGATGTGGTCATCCATTCATAATGTCCACTCATCCCCAGACCTTACAATGTTCATATTGTATTCGCTGGACTCTGGCATAGAAGTCAGAATAAGCTTCCTGTCTTTGGAGATTACTACCCTAGAAGCTGTCTCTTTTAAAGGAGAACAGTGTTAATAATAATAATAATAATAATAATAATAATAATAATAATAATCCTTGCATTTGATATAACGCTTTTTCACGTGAAAGTGAATTGACTGTATATTTGTGGGCGAAATGCGGCAGCCAATTGTGCACAGCAGTGTCCCACAAACAGTTGTGGATTGAAGTGACCAATTTATTATTGGTTTTTTTCTTGGGGGATTATTATCAGGCGTGTGGAGTAAGGAAACTTGCCAAAGGTTTTGCCTGCTGGGAATTGAACTCATCTGAACTGCAACACAATATCAAATAATAATCCTTGCATTTGATATAGCGCTTTTCACATCTTCTCGACATCTCAAAGCGCTTCACAGAATCGAGTGTAAAGTGAATTGACCGTATATTTGTGGGCGAAACGCGGCAGCCAATTGCGCACAGAAATGTCCCACAAACAGTCGTGGATTGAAAATGACCAATTTATTATTGTTTTGTTTTGGAGGGATTATTATTAGATGTGTGGAGTAAGGAAACTTGCCCAAGGTTTCGCCCTGCCTGGAATTGAACCCAGGTGTCTCGCTTGCAAGGTGAGTGCTCTAACCACTGAGCTACAGGACTCCACATGTTGCAAAGATATACACTTTGCTGTCTATTTACAGAACAAGATTTGAGTGTGCATGGCTATCTGGTCATTACAATAGATAATGCTGTACATTTGCTCCGATATCCCTCATTGTGAATGTTTCATTCTTTAAGTTTGTCTCTTGGAGACGTCTTTGCAATCATAGACATTTCAATACAGAAGTCTATTTCCCACTGGAGCTATCTACTCTTTCTAATTTTCCCGTTCTTTCCCCAAGTAGGGCAGGTGATGACACTTCATGTCACTACAGGGTGAATTCTATTAAAATGCTAGTTATCTTCTACATCAATGAAAGTGCCGGAGAAATTCTTATCTGTTAAATGTATCTTCTTTCAAACAACTATGTGTGGCCCATTGGATATCAATCCAGACTAGAAATCTAGGTCCCAGTATTATTAATGCTATTATTAGTGTAGGTTGTATGGAATGAGAAAATTGCTCTTTTCAATGGATGGATACAATGGATACACTTTACAAAATATATCTATATATCTGTTTTCTACACAGTATTTGTTCATCCATTCTTACCATTTAAACTCCCATCTCAATTCTGGACGTGAAGATTTTTCACTAGTAAACTACAGTTAATGGACATCAAAGAGCAACAGCTTATTTTAATACATTCCTCTGAGGATTTTTTTCATACCTTGGGATTGCTTGCAAAATTATACGAACGTCAAGATGCATGAAATCTACTATATTACCATTGTAAAATGTACCAATTCTATTGCTTCATTGAAGAATTTCAACACATTTTTTAAGCATGACTTGCCTTTCATATTGCTGATGTTGATATGGAGATTTTTCCTCTTATTATCCCCCTTTCCCCTTCTCCCTTGCTCAATGTCCAAGCCCATCTTTGCAAAGCGTTCTGAGATGCTTTCTTAAGTGAAGGGTACTATATTAATCCAAGTTGCTGTTGTATTTATTGGAATTGCTTCCTTTATAATGAATTCCAATGTTGTTCCAAATGTGGGCATTACGATAACAGTTATAACTCCCAGGATCATGCTTCTGACCTTTTTTTTTGTTACTTGTAGCACAGCATTAGCTATTTTCCAATCTTCCTGTGCTAACTCTGTATTTAATGAGCTGTGGAAAATTTCAATCACAGCTCCCTTACTTCTACCATCATTTCCTTAAGTATTCTTGGATGCATTCCATCTGGTTCTGTTATTTTATGAATATTTAAGTCCTTTTTTAACTGACATTTTATCCTAATCTCCATTTTCTTCATGAACTTAAGATGCATTTCTTACTATCACAGAGGGGATAGCTTTCTTCAGTGACAGCTGCTGTTAAACTAGCTACAATTTCTACAAAATTGTTTTCTTCCCCACTCTCTTATTTCACTCATCTTAGTCATTTTTCTTTAGGTTTTCTCTCCCTCTAATTTTCTCCACCACTCCTCTCCTGTAGGTAGAAACTTATGCTCCTGCAGAGGGCAACTGATCTATGTGCATGCAAAGACACAGTGTGTATTCTCCATGTGTAAGCTAGCAGTGAGTGACAGAGGCATTACAGATCTACCCATTCCTGACCTTACCTGACACCCATAAATGCATCTTTCACATTCAGATGTAACCTGTCTCAGTCGGTAGCATTTTTGCCTCTAAGTCAAAACGTTTTGGGTTCAAGCCCCATGATGGAATTTTCAACTCATCTAGGTCTAGGCTGAAACTCCAATACAAGCTAGTCTTGAGAGAGGATGTCTTAAATGGGACCTTATGGGGGTGTTTACAATTTTAAATAGGGTTGAATAAGTAAACCCGGAACAATACTTTATGGTGCACTAAGGCAGTAGAACGAGAGAACATATGTTTAGAGTTGCATAGGGCAATTTCAGGACAGATACCAGGATTTTTTCCTTTACTCAGAGGATAATTAATGATTGGATCAGATTGCCAGGATGAGAGGTTGAGGTCGAGACACTGGATTCAATTTAAAAGCAACTTGATGCTGTGATGGGAGAACTGTAGGATGGGTGTTCTGGGAGAGTGAAATCAGATGGGCCAAAGGGCCTTCTTCATCCAAACCAATCTTGTGATTTTGTGAATAGTGATCAGGAGCAAAAACTGTGTCTGATTTTTCTCAATAGCACAAGAGAACAAAAGCTAATTTAATGCACCTCTTTTGTTGCACAGTAGGAATGAGCTAACTTAGCACATACCATGAATCAAAAGTGCACCCACAGAGTCTGCACGGTTCAGTTTTATCCTCGGTTGAAGCACCCTGGCCGCTATATAAATGCAAGTTGTTGTTGTTGTAGGTTGTTATTTTACCAACTGATCATTGCGGGTGCACCCTCGTTAAGACTTTGGTTCCACGAAAACGCCTCTCAACACTTATAATAACTTAAATATTACAAAGCACTCAGGGATAAACTTTCACATCTCAATATGTGCATAGCAAATAATCTTCCAAGAACACTTCCTTGTTTCCACTATCAATGTGGTGTAGCTGAGCAATATAACCCACTTTAAACAGTTCTCTGTTATAAATGGTCTTAAATTTTCCTGGGCCAAACTGTTGTATATTATCAATGTTTCGTCCTTTGACAGTTTTCACATATCAATACCCTGAGTTTTATTATATAGCTACAGTTTCTGAACAAGAAATGGCAGGTTTCTTTTCGTGTCTTGTCAGATTCTGTCTGGATTTTTTTTAGTGTCTAATGGCAAGTTGTGAAAACTGAGACAAAGAGATAAGACAAAGAAGGAGATTCACGCCACAGGCAATCTCACATTCAGCCTAAAGGCCTATCCTTAAATAAAGTTCAAAAAGGATACTGATCAAATGTAATGCATCACATTTACGGTGGATATATATGCAGAGGGCCCATTACAGGAGACTATAAATTAAAAGCATTAAAATAATATTGATGGAAAAGTTAAACTACCTTGATATTTTCCCTTTGGCTTACCGGCACTGTCATTGTAGTAAATGCGGATGTGCTGATTGTTGGATCATTTCTTCTTTCTTGGTAGACGATGTGGTACTGTGAAATAACCCCATTGGGAGAACTTGGCACGGTCCAGTCTAACAAGACAGAGAAAGCGCTTGTAGCTTGAGCAGAGGGAGCTGCCATGCCCTGAGGGAGTGCTTCGAGGGTTTGCACAGAAGCCCACAGACTGTCTACAGATCCCTTGGAATTGCGCGCTCGAATACGGTACTTGTACTTTGTATAGGGCTGCAGCGTGTCTGAGGCATCTATAAACTCCAAAGCACCTTCGGACCAAATAAAAATCAGCAGTTCTTCCAGGGTTCCAAAAGGCTGTCTGCAAACCAACCAGAAGTGACAATGGTTATTCTATTTCATCTGAGTAAATTCGGCAGAAAATAGATCGGTTGAAAGAAAATAAATAGCCGTGTCCACATTTAGATGCTTTAAAAGGAATTGAATGGTATATTTATAAAAAATAACATTGTGCCTTTTTAAAAAAATAAGTAAATTAAGTTAAGTAAATACAGTACTTGATTTTAACTGACAAAACTCTTCATTTCTAGAAGTATTGGTTTACATGAATTTATTTGTTTAATGCAAGATCTTTTTTTTCCTTCTGTGTTGAGGACAAATGTTAAATACTAAATCTTATGTTAAAATGTTGAAGCAAATTTAAAACTGACCCACTCCCATTAATATTTTATTTCACTGTAAGCTCAAGTCCTAAGAAACTAAATGTTATTATTATAATAATAATTTAATAATTATAATAATGACCATTAAGACCATTGTGTCAACTGGCTCATTTCATAGTACTTTTCATGCTGAGCCAGAGCGATGTAGGTTTAAGCCCATGTCAGGACTTGGATTTCATACAGGATAAGCTGACACTCCAATGGTGTGCATTGTTGGAGATACTGTTCTTCGGATGAGGTGTCTGCCTGTCCAGGTAGATGTTAGAGATCCCATGGTACTACTTGAAAAGCGAAGGGAGTCTCTTCTGGTGTCCAGATGAACAATCCCCCAAATAAAATTGGTTATTTATTCCATGGATGTTTATTGGACATTGCTATGCACAAATTGGCTGCAGTGTTTGTCCATAAAAAAACCACAAAGTCACTCTACTGTCCGGTATATCCTGTGAAGCGCTTTGAGATATCCTCCTGTTGTGAAAGACTATACCAAATATATGGATCATTATTATTGCTTTAAAATTCATGATCAGACAGAATTTTAGAATATTCATAATTTGTTCTTAATTTTGAAGTTAGTTTTCTGTACCCCTTTTCATCAACAGGAACATTAAGTTTCAAATTGAGTCTGTATTTTTCCAAATTGTGCATGATCTGAAAAATGTAAAACACACTGGTCTTAAGGCTAAGACCATGAGATATCACACTTAGGTGTCATGGGCAATTTGTTTTACTGGAGATAGCAGAATGGCAGATTGGATTGAACTAAGATGCAATGTTTATTCTGACAGTCCCAGAAGAATGAAATATAAAAATGTCCACATCAGTTTGAATAATAGCACTTCATTGGCACAGACAAAAGGATCAAAAGGAGTAGAAGTAGCAAATGCACCATGGAAAAGCACCAAATAATTTCTTAAGACCATCTCACTCAGTTGATTTGTAACTGATTTTATCAGAGAATATTGTGCAGATGCAGATATAAGACGGTACTCTAAAGAGCTCAGAAGCGGGGAAATGAGGTGACCGTAAGCACAATCAAAGAGGAAGGTCTTTAGGTGGGATTTGAAGGTGGGGAGGGAGGGGCCAAGGTGAGGGATTGAGGGACAAAGTTCCAGAGTTTCGGGGCGAGTTTCAGAGTTATCTCCAAGTTGCAATAGGAGATAAAGAGGTCTACAGGACATTCACTGAAATAATCGGTTGATTGGAGATGGGGGAAGACTGACCAATATGTCACTCAAGGTAGCTAAAGGATTCGCCATTAGTCACTGTCTAATTAGTAGGAAGGAGAAGCGGAGACACTATTGATGGAAAACACTGAAGTTACCAAGAATTATGATTTCAGCAGAAGAGAGGTTAAAATAAACATAAGCAAGAACGCCTCCTTTGGTTTGAAAATTGGAGTAGAAGCAAAAGCACAAAGCCCAGCTGACGTGTAACAACAGTGTTGTCTCCAACTAATTAATAATAATCGTCCTTGCATTTTATATAGCCCCTTATCACGTCTTCGAGACGTCTCAAAGCGCTTCACAGAATATACTGTTAAGTGGATTGACTGCATACTATGTGGCCGAAACACGGCAGCCAATTGCACACAGCAGTGTCCCACAAATAGTCATGGATTGAATGACCAAATTATTATTTTTTAAAAAAGGGATTATTCCCCCCTGAAAAGCGATCCGCCAATTGACTAACAACCTGGCTCTCGCTTCGTGTAAACAGAGGTGTGTGGAGTAAGGAAATTTGCCTAACATTTCACCCTGCTCATGAATCAAACCCAGGTCCTCTTGCTTGTGAGGCGAGTGCTCTAACCACTGAACTACAGGACTCCACTCTGCAATAAAGACAGCCACGTGGTTACAAACTGGCAGTGAAGTTACACTGGGAATTTCACTGGCTGCACTGGGCCAATACATTTTGGCAACTGGGCTATAACCAGACATTGGTTATTTTATTAATAGGCAAACGGATATTTTAATGTTTAAAAACTTGTTATTTTGGTGAGTCCAAACCCTATTTGTAAAATCGTGGCACCTTCATTTTTGGTCAGGTGGCATTCTGATATGTGCAGGAATGATTTGCCATTTCATAGAATATCTAGTTTCAGCTCACTTCCCGATTGTCTATCACCAGTTACCTGGAAACTTTTCTTTACTCAGAGGGTAATTAGTGACAAGAACAAGTTGCCAGGAAGAGTGGTTGAAGCCAGAACACTGAACTCATTGTGATGGAAGGCCGTTCGGATGAGTATTCTGGAAGGCTGAAATTCAATGAGCCGAATATGGCCTTCTTCATCCAAACCAGTCTTGTGAACTTGTGACCATTTAGCGAGCTCGACCCCAGAGAAACCCCTGCTTACTTCTCCCCAAAGAAGATAGTCAGAAGCTAGCCGTCAAGTAGCTGACAAGCCTGTGTTTGAGCTCTCAGTAGATGGATGGTTGTTACCAGGAACCTCTCCCGACAGTGTCACCTTAACTATGACTAATCCATCTTTGCACGCAGTGCGAAAGCATTTTCAGTGGCGTAAACACTAATATGTTAACTGAAATATATTTCCTTTATTACTCCATCTATTAAAGCCATGTGCTAGAAAATAGAAAAGAAACTACCAACAAGTAGCCTAGTTCTGTCATTATAAAAAACGCTTTTGTCACTGCCATCAGAGAAAGATTTAATATTGTTGTGGTTGTGCAATGGCTTTAAACTCCAACTAAAATCACTGGCAAGTGATTCATTGTGATATTACCTAATATAAAATTTGTATCTTGTGGCCCAGTGCAGCATTTTCATCACACTTTAAATAAAATCAACTCTCTATCTATGTCAGTCAGCAACACTCTGCTGTACACAGAGGAATCCAACAGGGTACAATTATGATTTTGATTTGATTGTGTCATTTGAGCAGAAGGTTTATTACTTTTGACTCAGCTAGGCAGTGCTTCATACATTTCATTCCTTTGTGATTGTGTCTCGAATAAATAACTACACAACCAAGCACAGCATTTCTGTACTTTTCAGGTTTAGTACAATAGAAGTCTTTCATTTTGTTTGATTTTGCTTGCCAATTTTCTCACTTTTCTCTCCTCTCCCGAAAGGTGTTTTGTTTTTAATCTTTCTTCCTTTAACTTGGGTACAGTGCTACTGCCACTCGCCCATGTGGCCATTATTCATGCAGGAGCCTTGACATAGACAGTCAATCAACTATTTGAGCCCAAGGGAGCTTTCTCATGAAGGCTCACTTGTCCTCACCCAATGCCCACAAAATACAAAGTCAACTCACTTTACAGTGTATCCTGTGAAGCATTTTGAGATGTCTCAACAATGTGATAATGCGCTATATCAAATGCAAGGATTATTATTATTGATTATAATGCCCATTCATGCTTATCCCCAGGAATGGTCATATGGGCCACTTAAATGAGCTATCCTCCTACCCCACCCCACTCCCAGCATTGTGGTGGCCTTCTTCAGGATTTGGCTAAAATAATCCTTGCTTTTTTTATATAGACAAGCACTGCAGATTATGTGGAGAATAAATCCATGCCTTAGCAAATGTTCCATTTAAATGAACATTCCTATTAACAGAATATTAATTAACTGGTGTATAGTGTAGTTAATTTTGCACTACCTTTCTCCATAATAATAAAAAAAATTACCCCTAAGCAAACTAATGCAGAGCTGTTTTACTGGTTAACGTACATGAAGGTGTTTATAAGGAAATCCAAGGTTGACAAGCAGTAAACAATCTTTTACAATGTTAATGAAACTGCTCATCACACCACACTATAGAAGAGCCACTCAACCTTTATTTTTTATCAGTCACAATGATTTTTTTATTCTCTTCTATGCTTCTGAGCTCTTTGCATTCATGGCAGAGTTGTTGGGGTAAAACCATGGTGTTTGCAGCACAAGGTTGCCGCTGTAACTAATAACTACAATAAAAATAATCTTTGGATTTGACATAGCGCCATTTCACGTCTTCGAGACGTCTCAAAGAGCTTCACAGAATATACTGTAAAGTGAATTGACTGTACATTTTGTAGGTGAAACTGTAAGACTGTGACTATAAGAAACAAGTCTAAGATGAGTCAATTTGACTGGTCTTTAGATATATGAAACAACTCTGTTCTTTGAAGAGATGCTTTATATTTTGTAATGAAAATTCAACATAACCTTCCAATCCATCAAAACCTTTGTCGTTGCCAATCACTCGACTGCATTTCAATGCAGATACTGCAAATGTAAGCTAGGAATAGTGCTGTCACGTATCAATGAGTCAAATTAATGAATTGTTCTTTGTAATTTTATGCTGTATGAGTGAAATTACTTTTCAGTGCAGTGTAACATTAGCATATTATTATTCGTTAAACTAGCAATTAACAGGAGGAGAAATAAGCCAACAACCGAAGCCAGGCAAGATATAGCAGCCCTAACCAATGGAACCATTAGTCAAGGTAGGTGGGATCCTTTGTTCCCTCCAGCCAAATCAAACCCAAGACCAAATTAATTGCTTCAGCCCTTAAACATGTATTGCTCCTGGAGTATGCACAGACAGATTAGAAAAAAACTCCAATGTACTTTCTCACAAGCTCCATACAATGAAAATGTGAGCAAGGTTTTGAAAAATACGGTATGTGTTTCTACGTGAAGTCGTGAAAACGTTTCAACAATAATAATTAAATCATTTTGGCTGTGACAATATCATAGCATAGGAAAACAGGTAACTTATATCTTAGTCTTGCTTGTTTTAATTTTTCTCCTTCAACTTTTCTGAAGGAGTTAACCCAAGTTGTGGTTCAATTCCACATGTACCTCAGTGCTCCAGTATTATTATTGTTTGAGCTTGAATGAGCTATGGTAAGCCTTATTATGGGGGAGAGGGGGGGGTGTGGGTTGAAGAGGGATTAAGTTGAAACTAACCTTGTCCTCATCTGACACCTACGAGTGTGTGCTTCCAGCATGAAATACTGACAAATGTGACTGATTTTCTCCCCCTTCAGCTTCAGGAAGCAAAACCACAGCACCCACACTGCAAAACCAGCTGAAATTGGCTAACTCAGCATAGACCAGAGATTGAACCTGTTAATCTCCTGTTTTCCTCACCAAGAAAATCCAAAGAAGTTTTTGCTCAGCAACATTTTATTCAAAAAGAAATTTACTTATAACATTGCTGCCTTTCTGGTGGATACACATGTTTTTGAGCATTCTGTACAGATGATAAAATCAAGCGTAGAAATAAAGTCAATTGCAATATAATGTGGAAATTTAGTTTTCTTAATTCCTGGTGTGTCTCTGAGGCTAAATTAAATCAGTGTAGTGTTATATTCCTTGCATTTGATATTTGATATATGACGCTCTGTCAAATACAAGGATATCAAATGCAAAGAAATACAAGGATTATTTTTTATTCACAGAAGAGGAGCAAAGGTGCTGGGGATATTATTTGTAAATTCACAGAGAAATAATCTGCAAACTATTGCAAGGAAATTCTATACATTACACAATAATACTTTTGATCCAAACATTCCCACAGTGTATAATATAGAAATCCAAATTTTCTATCAAGTGAAACCAACAGATTATTACAGTAAGAAAATTGTAATTAGCCATTGCCAAGGAAGGTTTGCGGTCTCAAGCCTGTAAGTCTATAAACAATAATCCAAAAATAACACCAGGGAAAAATCCTAAAATGGTTAAGAAAAATGTTACCTGTAAAGTAAGTAACTTGTGATAATTCCATTAGGTTTTTGAGGACAAAACCACTTGACTTCTAGGACCACTGAACCAACTGGTGTTACAACTGGTGGCTTCTGTCCCTGAGGTGGGGCTTCGGTTGTCTTCACGTGTTTACGTTCACCAACTCCACATCCACCTAGAGCAAGAGTATCAGAACAAAGTGACCTCAAACTCAAAGGGTGGAAGATGAAAGCACGGCACACTAAAATACTGCTATACTCATACAGTCAATTTACATTCAGTCTATAGTCTTCAATGTATTGACAAACTATTGTGAGTGAACTTTTCAAATCTGACCTCTATAGTATAGTGATTTTGATATCTATCAATAATTGATATCTTGTGGAAGTGACGTGATTTTTATTTATGATCCAGCAAAGAAAAAAATATCCGAGAAGCATTATTATACATTTTAAAAAATCATTATGCTGCTTGGATAAAAATGATGGGAGATCAAGAATTGTAACTTATTTGCTTATTGACTCCCATTGTTACTTTCTAATGATTTTGCCCATTTTCTTCTCTCTTCACTCCTCATCTCCTAAAGACAATGCCCTTGTTCTTCAATTATGCTACGGGAGCCAGGGACCTTCCAATACCTCAGCCTATTTATCATGTTAGGTCTGCATAGTAAGTGTTGCAGAAACTATTCAACCGTGGACTATATCACAGCCAAGTGTCCTCTTGACATTGCTTGATGAGTACATAGCAATCAGGAGTGGGAAACCTGGCTTATTTACTTCCCTCTTTAACCCAAGAACACAAAGACCATTCGTTCCAGCTCTGCTGTTTTCCCTGGCTGAGTTCAGTTATCTTAGAAAGGAATGGTAAGCGAACCTTCAGGCTTTGCTAATCTGAATGGTGTCTTTACTCGCTTGGCCATTCGGGAAGCCGCTACTATTATTATACTGTTGTGCAGTGGTAGCACTCTCTGAATCAGAAGGCTGTGGGTTCAAGCAACGTCAGGACTTGGAATCACATAGAATAAGGTGACACTCCAATGCAGTACTGGGGTGTGTTTCATTGTCAGGAGTGCCATCCTTTGGATGAGACGTTAAACCAAGGTCCCATGTGCCTGTTCAAGTGGATGTTAAAAATCCGTTAGCATTATTTGAAAAGAGAAAGGAATTTCTCCTGGTTTCTGGCCAATATTCCCCCAAAATAAAATTGTTCACTCAATCCATGGCTGTTTGTGGGACATTACTCATGCATGTTACCCTCACAAAATACACAGCAAATGCACTTTACAGTATATCCTGTGAAGCGCTTTGAGACATCTTAACAATGTGATAAGGCGCTATATCAAATGCAAGGATTATTGTTATTATTATGACACTCGATGAAGTTCATCCAAAGTATGAATAACTGCAATTGACATGTGGATCAAACACATGTGTGAAAACTCTTCACATTGCAAACTAGCTGAGCATTCATGGAATGAAAATATTTCCCATAACAACAAATTATTTTATTCAATTAAACAATCTGTAAGTTCAACGTAGGTGCAATCAATTGTATTCAGGACTTCAGAGAGGCCAGCATGGTTAAATTGATATCTTATGGCATTTGCTGCTGCTGCTACTATTGGATTGAATAGAATTAGATTTAATGACCTAGCCTGTTGACCAGTGCAGCAATAAGCTTTACAACCTGCACCACAGTAAATGCATAGTAAATTCCCAAATCACCAGAGGAGCACTAAAATGAACAAGTACCATAAATGTGGGCACTACTGTAAACTCCACTACTACTGGCAAGCCTGCAGTAACAACTGACAGTGTAAATCTTGAGCTGTATTTCAGCTCAAGAGTCTGCACAAGGCAAGAGGAACTATTGTGTTTTTTCACTGAATGGAGATAGGAAACCACACGGGCACTGAAACATGTAAAAGTAATATCCTCCTGTTTTTTTTGTGACGCCTTCATGATCAACACAAGATCATGTTTGCTTTTTCCTTGTTAAGAACTGTGAAAGATTGCCTTGCAAGTTAAGTCTGAAATTCCGAAATGCTTTTAAATTACATACAAATTATAAATGAAAGTTGGGTGCCAGTTCAAAGTGCGTGGTAAATTTCCACTGGAATGTTTAGTGTGACTTTACAATGCTGTGGACAAGGTTACTCATCGAGATGTGATAGTTGTGCAGGGATGCAACCCCTCCTTCAAGTTTCTGGTGCAATGTAGCATTTCGGAGTGATCTAGTTCTCATTTTGTTGTGCTTATCACTGGGTGTCTATTTTTCATTGACTGTAAAGCCAGTTTTCTCAAACACTTTTGTATGCAAAATATGTCAAAGTTAAAAGTACATTCAACATGACAGGAACAATAAGGCAGAAGAAAGCAGATGGCATGATCCATAGTTAGAGGGAGTATCTCATGGTGTCCGGGCCAACAATCTCCCAATAAAATTGGCTATTCACTTCAAGGCTGTTCGTGGGATATTCTTGTGTGCAAACTGGCTGCTGTATTCACCTATAAAGTGCATAGCCACTGTTCTTTACAGTAAATCCTGTTTTCTGAGATGTCTCAACAATGTGATATTGCACAATATCATTTGAAATGGTGATTTTATTGGTACAACAACAACAACAATAAGGTTTCATTTATAGAGCGCCTTTCACGTCGGGAGGACGTCCCAAGGCGCTGGACAATTGGGTCGGGACCCGAGCAGGGGGGAAATGGTCAGGGGGAGGCGAGGGAAGGGAGGGAGCGAGGAGGGGGTAGAGAGTCGAGAGGGGAGCTGAAGGCACGGTTGAAGAGAAAGGTTTTGAGACCGGCCTTGAAGGAGGAAAGGGAGAAAGCAAGGTGAAGGCACTGAGGGATGGAGTTCCAGAGCCTAGGGGCTGAGAGGCTGAAGGCCCGGCCACCGATGGTAGGGCGGTTGGGGCGGGGGATGTGAAGCAGACTGGAGCCAGAGGAAAGGAGGGTACGGCCAGGTAAGTAGGGGAATAGTAGGTCGGAGAGGTAGGAGGGAGCAGGGCCGTGAATGGCCTTGTAGGTGAGGATGAGGATGGTAGGTTAAGATTGCTATGTGAGTAACCTATTCTGATATTTGAACAGCTTTATGACTGTAATATTGGTATTTGTATCAACATCAAAATGCAGAACTGTATGTTAACCAACTGGACCACCAATAATACTTAGCAAATCGTAATTGTAGATCTGTACAACTGTAGAGCAAATTGTAATAATGGATGGAATCCATCACTGATTTCAGTTTGCAAGGTGACATATGTAGTTAAGTCCAAAGAAGCCTAAAACTACTACTGTCTCAAACAGCTAGACTTTATTGTTACCCTCGTACCCCCCCCACCCCACCACCCGCCCCAGCAATAAACAATATTATTAAAAAATATTTGATATATTATACAACAAACAAAGCACCTCTGTCTGACTTACCTGACTGACATGCCTGAATCCTTATCTCATAATCTGTAAATGGATTTAATCCCTCCACCAACAAAAACTGGGCTTGGCCTGCAGGTCGAATTATTGCTTGGTCAGTCCCTAGATTTAACGTAACGGAATACATCAGAAGGACGCTGGTGTTGAAAACACCTGCAAATGAAGAAAGAGAGAGTACAAAATAATGATCAGTTTACTAGCAGTGCTCAGCAAAGTAGGCTAGAGGAGTGAGCATTCCTCGCAACAACCTCTCATGAGAAAGGGACTGATAAAGAGTTAGGTTACAGATTTCTAACATTCGACAGTTATGACAAGGGGTAAAAGCATGTGCATATATATGTGTGTGTATATATATATATATATTATATATATACACCCTGATGCCATTACGGCCAACAATGTACTAGAGAAAGCTGAGAAAGCCAAGAATGAATTTTGCAATGAATTTCACCATTCAGATCAGCACAAGTATTCATTTGATCCTCAGATCAGAAAATTTTAATGTTAGTTTTATTGCTGGGCGGGGGAGGAGTATGTCTCACTGTTTGAGACATTAGTAGTAAACTTATACCTGATAATTGTTTGCTGCTATGAGTAGAGATTAGAGAAACTGGATCTACTTTCATTGGAACACAGAAGATTGAGGGGAAACTGATAGAGGACTTTAATATTATGAAGGGTTTTGATAGAAGCTATAGGGAGAAATTATTTCCACTGGTTGATGAGTGACTAGAGGAGCATTAGAAGGATTTTTTTTACAGAAAGTTGTCAGGATGTGAAATACCCTGTAGTATGCAATGGTTGTGGCAGGATTGAAGTTTTCAAGAGGGAACCAGATGGATATCTTAAAAAAAAGGGGGAAGAAGACAGGTGAAAGGACTGAACGGATTGCTCTTTCAAAGAGCAAATGAGGTGAAATGGCTTCTGAGCTTTAAATGACGCCAGCCAATGTGAATGAGAATGTATTTTGGCAGTTCATGGAGCACCCAAGTTTTAGCTTGTCTCTTCTGGCTGAACCTCAAAATCATGGCGTGTGAAAGGAATGCAGGATTCCCTGTATCATCCTGACTCTTAATAACTTTGTATCATGTAAGCATTAGCATACTGTTAAGTTTTTTTTTAATATTCTGAGTTGATGGGTATGTGGATATGTGGACGGATGAAGCCCTCAATATTTCATTGGTTGTAGTCAGTGACTGGAGGGTGAGTCAGTAACTAGAGTCAACGCAGGTCTCAAAATTCCATTCATACAGGTAACTGAATGGGAAAATTTTCATTGAATCAGCTATTTCGAGTGAGTGAGTGAGTGAGTGAGAGAGATAAATCTGGTGGCTCAAAATAGAGGTTTTAAAACCTGTTTTAGCATTTACTGGATAACATTTTATTTTTATTATTTTGAAAATTGGTTGCTGGTAAATTGTTTTGCTTCTATCAAGGTCCAAGGTGCTAATGTTGGTGAGTGGAACACTTTTATCACCTGGAAAGCACTGTCAGGTCTGGTTTAACATGTCAGATTAAAATTCCCTCTATTTTGTCCCTAAACCGGAACCTCAGAAAAACTTCCTGTGTTGCACGAAGTGTGATTTCTTTTACATCCCATGCCAACTATTGCCATGGCTTCTTTGAGTAAGAACATTTAGTGTTACACTTGACTTGGAAGTGTTTGGTGCTGACACTGAACACAGGACATGGGGGAATATCTTTCCTATCATATAGCTAAACTTTTCTTCTTGATAGCTTTAACAATAACAACAATATTGCTCTGTAACATTGCCTGTTTCCGCCACTATCTCGCGCCGAAGACCACTGAGATCCTCATCCATGCTTTCCTCATTTCCAGGCTTGAATATGCTAACTCCCTGCTCGCTAGACTTCCCAACTCCACAGGCTACAGATTATTCAGAACTCTGTAGCTCATGTTCTCCCTCACACCAAGCTCAGAAGCCGATCATCCCCATCCTCGCCCAGCTTCACTGGCTCTCCATCCCCCAAAAGATCAAGTTTAAGATCCTCGTCCTCACTTTCAAAGTCCTCCACGTTCTTCCTCCTCCATATCTCTGCAACCATCTAACACCTTACCAACCTTCCTGCTCCCTCTGCATGGCGGGCACTGGCTTGCTCCATGTCCCCCGCCCTTCCCGCCTCACCATCGGCGGTTGGGCCTTGAGCGTTTCTCTGCCTCCTCTCGAACTCTCTCGGAATGTTTTTGCCTCTCCCTTGCCTTCCTCAAGGCTCATCTCAAGACCTTCCTCTTTAACTATGACTTCAGTCATTCTCCCACCCCAACTCGCCTTGCCCTCCACCCCTCTTAATTCCAACCCCCAGCTCGGGTGCAAACCCTTTACTGTCCAGTGCCTTGGCATGTCATCCTGGCATAAAAGGCATTATATAAATGCATTTGCTGTTATTGTTGTTGTCTTTATAACTGTAATACTATTGTACAACAGCTCCCAGTTTGCAGTTTAATGTACAATGAGCAATTAATTCTGCCATAATAACCCCCATAAGCAGGCAAGCTAACTTGTGTGCAGTTGGTTCCTAAAAAATAAATGATTTGAAGTCTGCTTAATTCAAATACTCTTTGGGGATGTTGAGTTATGCAGTTTAATGTAACTTGAACTTTATTTTTCAGAGAATTACTATTATATTTCTTCCATCTAGAATGTGTATCCTTGTATTCAATGTGAGTCTCATCATTCTAGTTCTGTCCAAGGAGCCAAGCGTTAGTAGTTTGTTAGTATTCCCTGTGTTGACCCTTTTCATTATTCAGAACAATGAAGCATGGATCGTTAATTCAAGATTTATGAGGTTGAAATGTATGCAGAGAGCAGGTTGATTATTACTTTATCTTTATAAATGGAGAAAGTTAAATTATTTAACTTTCTTGATTAAAAAAATGCCATCGCGGATGCATCATCCTCAAAGATCCGTGGACAATGGCGGGGAGGAAATTAACCTGAATCATGCCGAACGTGTAACACTGACTGAAGGAGAAATAATGATGGATTTTAAACTGCTCTTTTATTCAAACATAAAAAGCGATTCTCTAAAAAGTTACTTGGATAATTTGGTAGTGTGTGTGCAGTATCCGTGTTAAGCCTCTGCGACGCTACCCTGCTTGGAGGGAGCTATATAAGTGCAAGTTTTATCATTTCCAGTCTCACAATGATCCCATTCATCTTTGTTCTGTCTTATAAAATAATAATAATCCTTGCATTTGATATATCACATCTTCGAGACATCTCAAAGCGCTTCGCAGAATATACTACAAAGTGTAGTAACTGTGTATTTTGTGGGCAAAACATAGAAGCCAATTGCGCACAGCAGTCTTAGCGCCAAACCTTAATCTCACTATTTTGTGTCGAATTGAGGTTCTTGTCATTTATTTTAGATGCTTACCAGGTCAGTACTTACTGCCTTAGAATTAATTAATTCATCAAGTGTAACGATTCGCTTAATGTGTGCCGACATGCATATAAAATGTATAGAAAATACACCTTAAATTACATTTAGATGATGGTTTCTTTAGGTTAAGACCAGATCTATTCTTCTTGGATCATTGTCATATTATTGGATATGTCAAGCTAGGCACAGATTTTAGATTCAAGACATTTTAGTCGTAGATAGTTGATAAATTACATGAATATCAGTGAAAACGCATTACAGTTGGAGACTGATAACTGTTTTTTGGAATAGAATCATAATAATAATAATAATAATAATAATCCTTGCATTTGATATAGCGCTTTTCACGTCGGGAGGACGTCCCAAAGCGCTTCACAGAACACACTGCAAAGTGAATTGACTGTATATTTGTGGGCGAACGCGGCAGCCAATTGCGCACAGCAATGTCCCACAAACAGTCGTAGATTGAAAATGACCAATTTATTATTATTTTTGGTTTTTGGAGGGATTATTATTAGGCTCTGTGTGGAGTAAGGAAACTTGCCCAAGGTTTCGCCCTGACCTGCCTGGAATTGAACTCAGGTGTCTCGCTTGCAAAGCGAGTGCTCTAACCACTGAGCTACAGGACTCCAACTCATTGAATGCTACAGCACAGAATGAAACCATTCATCCCATCATGCCAGTAGAAAGAGTTTTGAAAGAGCTATCCAATTAATCCCACTCCCCTGCTCTTACCCCAGAGTTTTGCAAAGTTTTTCTTTGCAAGTATATATCCATTTCGTTTTGAAAGTTATTATTGAATCTATTGTAGGTTCAGAGATACCACTGGCTACACCATGGACCTACAGGTTACAGGTAGTGTGAGGTGCTTCCTGTACTTGCTCGCTGGTGCAAAGGACCTCCCAGTATCAGTGGCTTCCCAGCTCCTGCTGGAAATGCCTGTGAGAGCAGTCTCCACTGACTGGCTGGCTTTTTGTATAGCCCAGCAAAATGAACAACACCAGTGACATCATGGGCTATCTGACTTCACAGAAGCACTACAACAGGACATGTTATAAAGCACAATCTGATTTTACGAACCCCACATTATAACATGGGCCCAACTGTGTCTATGCAGGATTGTAAATTCTCATGGGAATTAGGATTATTTCAAATATTATGAAAAATGCAGCTTCTCCCGTCTCCCTTCCCCAAAATGTGACAATAGCAATACAAAAAGTAACCAGGTGCACATGCAGACATTAACTGTACCAGGTGGAGTCCAGGCTACAAATAGTGAATATGAACTATTCACTGAGGCATTATAAGGAGCTGGAATTTGCTCTGGCGTTGAGATGGGTGTCTGAACAACATAATTTTTGCTTCTGTTTTTCCCTCCTCCTGTGCTGGCTTCCAATTGGTACACATATCTGAGGAAAATAAAGTGGAATAAAATGAAAGTTATATACTCTGCTTCGGCTCATCACGTCCTGCTTCCGTCTGAGAATTAATTTAGCTTCTCTAATGTGAACAACTGCAATAACTATGATTAAATGATGTCCTGATGGTCTGTGACTGTCTTTTCAAGTTAAGCACTTTCCATTAAAACAAGTATGGGTAAGTTTGTGGCATTTTAGAACACCCAGAAATGTTGCAAATTTTAGCCCTATATCAGTGAAGGAATGGCTTTGTCTTTGCATTTCATTCACATATAGCTCAATAGCTTTTTTTGTCTAATTCCTGCTAGGACATAAGGAAAGACAAAAGAAGAGCTGACATAAAGTACAATCATTAAAATATATCAATAAATACGAGGAGTCGCAATGGACAGAAGCTGATTGAATATCACCAATATTTGTCTTTTAAGAGCTCCCTTAAAGATTTTTCAAAATGTTTTAATGATTAAATATCAGCACTGCTCGGCTTTTTAAAGCAAGTCAAAATAATCTTTGAGACCACTCTTACAGATTGGATATCACCAATAATCACCTCTTAAAAGCCTGTTAAAGATCTGCAAACGTTTTACCTTGTGTCGGGCTGTAAGCCAGCATCTGTGTAATTACGATTTCTGCGTGTACCAGTGTAGATGACGGCATTATCACGCAGCAAGCGGAACTGTGTAATGATCCCGTTTGGTTTCTCTGGCTCTGTCCAGTAAAGTTCTACAGTGGAGGAGTTCACTATAACATGACAGGGCTTTGGCCAGATCCCTGCCGAAAACAAGTCATTCTTTTTTATTTTATTAAAGAACCAACCGAATTTGTTAGCCGCAAGTTTTAATCAACAGGTTGAAACGCTATCAATGTCAATCATGAAAATCATGAAAATTCTCAAATATGCAAATGATCAGTAGGACTGAGAGTTGGCTGATGTGTGAAAGGTACAGGAATCATTTTGCCAATTCTCTTGTGAATCCTGCAAATCATTTCTTCCCCCTTCCCCAATATGTAACCAGAAATGCAAACTTTATTGCATGTTTCTACGATGGGACAATTTGCAAAGGCCAATAGGTACAGTGAAATTGAGACATATTAGACCTGGAAGATCACAGGTTCAACCTTGTGATTTGTGCTAAGTCACCAGGTCTCAGACAGAAGGAAGAGACTTCATATATAACCTGAGTTGCCCTTGTTTAACAATGAAAATATCCTGCTGCTGCTTGCTATCCACTGATTATCATTCTTGAAAAGAGATATCTCAAAGTGGATCTGAAAGAGATATATACCATCGTAAGTGGGATTGAGAAATTAAAGTCATAACAATAACTAAGTCATGAGGACAAAAGGTCACAGGGTTAGGGTTTTAAAAGGCAATTTCAGGACAGACACCAGGAAGTATTTCTTTACGGAGAGTAAATAACAACTGGTTGAGGCCAGGAGCCTGAACTCATTCCAAAAACAGCCTGATATTGTGTTTGGAGGTTGGTAGGGACACGGTATTCTGGAAGGATGAGATCAGATGGGCCAAAGGGCTTTCTTCATTTGAATCAATCTTCCGATCTTGTGTGATGTGATTTCTGCTGGTGATTGAGCTTGAATGGCAGAGCTCGGTGTGACATCCCAAGGTCAAATAGCTTGATGGTATTCATTGTATAGATTCAAACATGAAATATGCTTTGATCAGTGACTTACGTACACAAAATATAAAATATATGAAACTGAATTGGTCGGAAGGAAGAAGCTTTCTCATTGGATCATTACCGTTTTTTAAAATCTGCTGCACAAGGTGCAGAAACACCTGCATTTGTCGAAGTCTGTCAAGAATTAACATCTACATAATGTAAATAGAAATTAAATTAGCCCTGCAGCTGTCTCTCATACCTTGTGGTGAAGCTTGCAACGTTCTGCTTGTTGCAGGCTGACTGGTGCTGCATCCCGCTGAAGTGCACGCAGTTACTGTGAAACTGTAGTTATTGTGTGGCTGAAGACCTGCACGAAAATAGAAATGCGGTTTGTATGCTTTGTGTATGAACCCTTCAGGTTCACAAACTCCCAAATAATGCTAAATCAACATGTGCAATGTCAACTCTAAAATCTGACGCACAAGATAATAATAATAATAATAATAATCCTTGCACTTGATAATAGTGCTTTTCACGTCTTCTCCACATCTCAAAGCGCTTCACAGAATAGACTGTAAAGTGAATTGACCGTATATTTGTGGGCGAAACGCGGCAGCCACTTGCGCATAGCAGTGTCCCACAAAAAGTCGTGGATTGAAGTGACCAATTTATTATTGCTTTTTGTTTTGGAGGGATTATTATTAGGCGTGTGGAGTAAGGAAACTTGCCCAAGGTTTCGCCCTGCCTGGAATTGAACCCAGGTGTCTCGCTTGCAAGGCGAGTGCTCTAACCACTGAGCTACAGGATTCCAAGATGCTGCTTCCCCCCACCCCCCCACCCCGGAGTACACGGGTTTCTACCAAATTTGCAGAAATGCACTACTTATTTATTACTTATGTAATGCACTACTTATAACAACATCTCAGAGCGCTTAACAGTGACAGAGCTTGACCCCCTGCCGGGGGCTGGGACAGGGAGGTGACCGTAAGCACGGTCGAAGAGGAAAGGTTTCAGGCGAGACTTGAAAAAGGGGAGAGAGGGGCAAGGTGGAGGGATTGAGGGAGAGAATTCCAAAGTTTCGGGGCGTAGTGGCTGAAAGCGAGACCTCCGATGGTGGGGCGGAGGGTGCCAGGGACGAGCAGGAGGCCGGTACCAGTTGAGCGGAGGAGCCGGGTGGTGGACGGAGAGGTCGGGAGATGCCAGATACTGAAGGGATTTGAACACAAGGTGTGAGGATCTTGAAGTTGATCCATTCGGTGATGGGGAACCAGTGGAGCTTGGCCAGAACTGGTGACATGTGGGTACGGAGTTTGGTCCGGGTAAGTATGCGGGCGGCAGAGTTCTGAATGAGCTGGATCTTTTGGAGGTGGAGCTGGGGAGACCGGAGTGCATTTAAGTTATCCAAGCGTGAGGTGACAAACACACCTCCCCTCTGCACTTATGCACTCTCGCCTCTGAGTCAGATGATTGTTTGTTTATCCCCATGTCGGGACTTTGAACTCAAAGTCATGGCTGACAATCCAATGCAGTCCTGGAGGAGTGCAGGAATATTGAAGATGCTGTCCTTCAACAACAACAAACAACAACAAATTGCCTTTATATAGCGCCTTTCACGTCAGGCGCTGGATGAAATGTTAAACTGAGGACCCATCTGCCTATTCAGGTGGACATGAGAAACCCCATGGCACTGCTTGAAAAGAGAAGGGAATTTCTCCTGGTCTCTTGGCCAACAATCACACAAGATAAAATTGGTCACTCACTTCAGCTATTTGTGGGATATTGCTGTGTACCAATTGGCTTCTGCATTCAGCTACAAAATACAGTCACTATACATTACAGCAAATCCTGTGAAATGGTTTGAGACTTGATGTCAAATGCAAGGATTATTATTATTATTGTCATTTATTTATGGCATGGTTTTATTATTATTATATTATTATTATTCATAGTTTATGGAAGTGCCTAAGAGCAACCATGATTGTTTAAATTGGTGATCCATTTAATAAGTAGTACTTTGAAAGAAATATTTAAGCTTTGTTTAAGGGAGTGCACATATTTATTGTGGCATGTATGTTCTATTCCTACAAGAATTTGAATGTTGAGATTTGTGTACCAGGTCCTGAGAGATGTATCCCACCCAAAAAAAATGACTGGAATGTTTTATTTCAATACTCTTCCATTCTTGGACGAAGATTTTTTAATTAATCACTAAGCTCTCACGTCTTTCTCCTCCAGAGCTCATCCTTCAAGTGTTTTCCTTTCAACTGTGGCATTTTACCTATTTCCAGCTTCCTCAAGGATTCTTTGCAACCAGTGCCAAATCCTTCACCTGCTTCATCTCCATTTAAAGCATTTGATCATTTGGGAGGGGGAATACAGATATTCATATTCATATTTGTTTCTGCTCCTCTGCTTTTTGTACTATTAGTCAATGTTTTAAACCTGTCTCATGCAACAAAACGCACTTTCAATTATATACTCTGTTTCAATTCTCAGTTAGTGCTTTGGTCCTCATTGGGATCGCCAATGGATTAGATGTGTTAAATCAATTCCTCACATCAATCTTCAAAAATAGAGATCATCGACAAATTCTTAAAGCCAGTTTGGCTCAGCAATCTCTAACACCCTGTATTTAGAGGCCACTGTAGGATGTGTATTTAAAGGTGATAAAGGAATTGATGAAAATGATTGGATTATGAACACAAAATGCTTTAGAGGTGGCAAGTACATGGAGCAACCAGCGAGGCAAGACGATGGGGAAATTATTGAATTTCTTCAGCATAATTGAGAATAATACTTTTACTTTAAATCAAAAAATCTGTTAAGAAATTACCCCATTATCTTACTATTTGTATCAATTAACTGGCAGTAGCTTAATTCAAAGGCACAAAAAATAAGACTGGGTGGAAAAGTGGGTTCAAATACTGTGGGTTTTGCCTGTTGGACCTGGGAGCTAATCTGGTCCCTGCCTTTGGATGAGACATTAAACGGAGGCTCTATTTTACTAATCTGGTGGATGTTCAAGTTCCCATGGTACAACTCAAAAATAGAAAAGTTTATTTCACAGTCTTGGTCAACAAACCCCCAGATGAAAATTGGTCATTCACTTCACAGCTGTTGGTGGGACATTGCGGTGGACAAATTAGTTGCTGAGTCATTAAACTTTACAGAGTGCTTTCAGATGTCCTCCCAATGTTAAAGGTGCTGTATCAAATGGAAGGATTTTTATTGTTATTAGATTGATGAGGTGAAAATCTCTATCTGAAGGCTGCTCTGGTTGCATGTGACTTTGTGCAGTTCCCCATCAGTATGGATGGATAGCACAAAACTGCCCAAAATGTACCCTACTTTCCATTTGACTTCCATAGAGAGTACAAGACTGGTTGGAAAGTGAAAAAAATACACTCAAGCACTTCAGTGCTTATGCAGATTTACCTTCTTAAATGTACAATACATAAATGTTAAATTGACAACAAAAAGGCTTTATTTTCTTTCAATTTATGTTCAAGAAAAAGTTAAATTGCTTTCAGCATTTATTGCCTTTAGGTTACTTTAAAGAAATCTAAAAAATGATGTTTCCAGGCTGCTTTAAGTTCCAGACATTGCATTCTTGCAATAATCATTGATTTACAGAGTGATAATGATGTTTAATCAATGCTCTGTTTTTCTATCCAATTTGTTGCGGGCCTCAGATTTGTTTAATTTTCACTAGTCATTTCCATCAGAGGCTGACTATGACACAAAATTATTAGAGCTCTATCCGAGGCGCTGAATATAAAACAATATTGAACAATCAGAAAATGGCCAGTAGCAACAGCAAAGCTATTTCTAGCTGATAAATAATAAGAAATCAAATTTAGTTCAACTCTTGGAATGCAACCATGAGGTCACCCATTTCTTGAGAACAGCACTTAAATGACTATACATGTTTAACCATTTCCTATTTTTTAAAAAAGAAGTTTTAATGGGGTAAAATTTATTATATCAGAATCCATGCAATTGGTATAGCACCTTATCAAGTTGTTGAGACTTCTTAAAGTGCTTCACCGGACTTTACTGTGAGTGTTACTGCCTGTGTATTTTATTGGCAAAGCATAGGAGCTGATTTATTCACAGCTATACCTGAAATCATAAGTGAAGTGAGTGACCAATGTTATTTGGAGGATTGTTGGCCAGAACACAAGGAGATACTTTTTTTGAACAGTGCCATGTGAATATTTAATGTCCACCTGAAGAGACAGATGAGGCCTCGGTTTAATATCTCATCTGAAAGATGGCAACAATGGAGCGCTCCCCAGCACTGCATTGGACAGGCTGCTTAGGCTGTGAGTTTAAAATTCCGGCGTTGGGCTTGAAAGTGCAACTTTCTGACTCAACGAGGCGAGGGTGCTATCCACTAAGCCATGGTGATACATAAATGTGCTCCAGTTTAGAAGCATTTTTTGGTGTTATTTAAGGAATATTGAATAAGCAACAGCAATTGGAGCACTTTGTCTTCAGGTAAATAGTTTCTACTATTTCTACTATTTAGGTATTATTTAAATACTATTTAGGTCCAGATGGTACCACTTTTTGGGGGATGCTCAAGCGAATGATTTTCATTTTGTAAAGTTAGGCCCCACACTGTCCTCTGAGTTCGTTTATTTTGTTAGATAATTGTGCAGCGCTCAAAGGGTGTTTCTGCCAAAGAGACGCTCTAGGAAGTGCTTGCCTCAGTCAAAAAGAATAATTTGGGGGATTGAATTGGCTAGTTCCCTGGCCTGCGACCCTCTGGCTGGTGGTTATCAAAAGTTCCTTAAATAACACAAGGAATTATTTAAAACTGTTGCACATGACACACCCATTGTATTAGAGACCAACAGGGCACTGTTCAACTGCTTTTCCAAGCCCATTGACTCTTTGACAATTTTCGTGGCATTTTGCACCAATGGAGTCAATGTTTTTACAGGGTTTGAAGAACATTTTAAGGTTTAACATTTAACATACAACACATGATCATATGACATCATATCGCATGATCATATCTTTTCGCCATTTTAATTTTTTAGGTATCTAGCAGAGGTCCATGTGAAACAAATACATTTTGCAAACGGTAAGCTGAATGAAATGAAAACCCTGGTTAACAATTCAAAAACGCAAAGGACTTCACGGGCAATTACCGCTATGTGTAGTGACTGTTTTTTCAGAAAACTAAACAACAATTTGCATAAGCAAGGTTCCACAAACAAAGATGAGATGAATGACCAATTACTGAGTCAAGAGGATTGTTGGCATGGACAACAGGAAAACCTCCCTTCTCTTTTCAAATAGCACCTTTAGGCATCTTTAACGTCCACCTGAAAAGGCAAGTGGGACAATCGTTTGACAGCTCATTTCCCAGACAGTCTCTGGCAATGCAGCACTCTCCCCCATCACCCACCCCCACACACATTACTGATCTGAAGTATCAGTCAGGACTGTGAGCTTATATTGCCTTATGAGGACTTGTGCATCATTTTAGTCCAATGATAAAATACGAAAGTAACACATTACTTGATAATCTTCTGTGGTGACTATGCAAATAAGGGGATAGAGGACAGAAAGATGTCAAACATATTTTCCCGAACAGTCTTAAGAGAAGATATCTCGGCGTGTATACAACAGAGGTGTATACAATATTATATAGGTTTTAAAGAATTTGTTAGGATTAAGACAATCGCACAAGAGGACATAGGACGTTGCAAAGGGCAATTTCAGAGCAGAGACCAGGACATGTTTGTTTTTACCCAGAAAGTAATTAACAACTGGAACAGGTTGCCAGGATGGGAGTTTGAGGCCATGACACTGGACTCATTTAAAAACTGCTTGATGCTGTGATGGTGAACAGAGTTCTGGAGGGAGGCATGAGATGAGATGGGCCAAACCAATCCAAACCAATCTTATGATCTTGTGAACATGGTGCCATTTTAATGCCTATGAAAGCACTGAGCTGAAGGTGGCAGCATCAGCCTTTTCTTTCAGTGGCACCTTAAAAAAAATTGATTATTGTAATTCTCCCTTAGAGTATCAGTTGGCCCATTTGTTAAATACTGATAACACAAAGTGAAACAATGCCATAACTGTCATCTAAATTGTTTTTTACAGGATACTGGAAGTGTTCAGTAATAAATGATATAAAAAGGTCTGATATTGACAAGCTGCCATTTACTGTTTGCATTAAGGAACATGAGAAGATGATAGCTGCTGCCCCCTGTCCCTGAGGTATTTTGCACAGTGAGACAGTTGAATGTGCTTCAGTTTACTTCAAGCATTGATAACACCCCTAAATAATTAAGTGAGAACTTCCCGTCCTCAATTACTTAATGCTTTTTTTGTCTTAAGAGAATTATGAATGACTTCTGGATGGTGTGTCTGCCCTTTCCATCTCCCCTCCCTCTGAGAAACACTTTATAAGATCAGGTTTCTTGGGCTGAGATGTAATTAAAAATAAGCTGTCAGAAAACACTACACCACGGCCAAAAAAAAAAGCAGAATCACGCCAGAGGAAATGTACATTGATTTACTGGATTACAGGCCATTTATACCAATATTTCAAATGATGCTCATATTACACTGATGGAAAAGATTATAGGAACAATCCACTATTTTTACGACAACTGTTCAAAGGCTTTAAGAGGTAAAAAGTTACGCTTTATCTAGCTCTCCATGAAAAATATGTGCCCATAATTCACGTGCGGTTGACAGCGGCAAAATATATGGGATGTTTATGGAAAATAAGTAAGTATCTGCAAAGTATGGCAATTATCAGAGGTCATACTTCAAACAGATTGCACTTTTATCTCTCTGTTCGTAACCCTTAAGGATTACAGTAGCTCTTCTGCATTTTAATACACTAATATTACAAGGTTAACATTCAAATTTATTTAGATATTGTTAATGAAATGAAATGATTGATCAGTTTTTTTTCATTCATCTTGTCCTCCCTCATAAAGTTGGTTATGATAAACTTATTTATTAAATGATATTTCTGTGCTGTTTACAATTCCTGAGCTGAAACGAGTTAGCGGTTAAAAGATGGAATTTTTAAGCATAGAAGACCAGTAACTATTTGACGACCACAAGTTAACAAGCGAAGAGCCAAGGTTAACTAGTCTGAATTTGTCAATTTAAAAATGTACTGACTTGATTTCTATGTATTTATACAAAGACCTGCTGTAAGTACCTGTACTTCGGAAAATCTAAATCACACAGTATGTGAGAAAGTATCCTTAAAAGCAAGCAACCTCTGCAATGTGCAATATAAACAACTCAAAACATGTCCTAGTTTATTTTTCTCTGCTTTAATTCTTTCCATGTTGTATCACATTCAGTCATGTAATCCATGCCCAGCCTTCTGTAGTGCTGCTGTACTAACCACAGCTAGAATAGGTACAGGAAGAGGCCTTTGAGCCCATCACACCCACTCCACCAGTATTTTTAGATCATGGCAGATCTTTTAATTGCATTTCTCCACCTTTTCCCCATACCCTTTAGAAACATTACTTCCCAAGAATCTATCTTCTTTTGTTGAAACAGCACGATGGATTTTTGCCTCTATGGACTTATGAGGCAATTTATTCCACATTTTCACAATTCTCTCTATGATGAGATGTGGGAATGGCACCAGTTCGTTCACTCTCTAACTTGACTTCACTGTATTTGTGTGTGTGTGTGTGTGTGTGTGTGTGTGTGCGTGGATGTGTGGGAGATGTGGGGGGTAGAGAGAGATAGAGAAACTGCCTCATCTCTGTATGGCATCTTCCACCTCCGAGTCTCCCTGTGGAGATTAGTAAACATGAAGGGAAATGTGAAGTGCTGTGCTGCAACTCTTCATTAGAATGCATTTGGGCATTTAACGCTTCACACCATCTAATCTGCTGTGGCACGAATACCTTTGGTTCTACAACAGTGGTATTCAAGGTTTGGTAATAAATGAATCATTCAACTTTATGCCCCTTCGTACCGGTCACAATGAATTGCATCTTGCCAGTGGTATCCGCATAGATGATCCCTGTTCCGGTCTGATGGATTTGGTATTCATGAATTATGCCATTCGGTGCAGCGGGCAGTCTCCACATAAGCTGCAAGGACGTTGCACTAAGAGCGGCAATTGTTGGTGGATGGACATTCTCAGGGACTTCCTGTATGGTCGTTGCAACTACCTGAGACAACAGAGAAAGCAAGACGTAGCACAATTTCTGAAACATCAGCCAAACATCACAGTACAACCCCCCTAATATTCCATGACATTTGGAATTCACTGTTTATGCTGGGGTCATTTAAGCTCACCTTGTGTTAAATATATTAACGTAATTCTCACAGGTCATGTAATATTAACAGCCACCATACAAAACACGATGCCGTCTGAGAATCACGAACCTCAACAGACCGGTGTGGACGTAAGTTTGATATTGTCACAGACACATGTGAGAAATCTTTTTTTTGAACATGGTTACATTGGTTTACAGATTGTATATGGCTACCATACACGGCAGAATGCTTACAACTATGTAATCATGCTCAACAACCACTTGCATTTATATAGCATCCTTCTCGCTTTACGAAGATGACGTTGGATTTTCAGCAAGGGAGAGGGGGCGGGAAGAAAGAGATGACCATAGGCACTTTCAAAGAGGTAGGATATGAAGTGGGACTTAAAGACAGAAAAAGAGAGGCTGAGACGGAATGGTGTAGAGGGAATTCCAGAAGGTAGGGGCATAGGAACAGGGAGTGGGCCAAGCAGCAAGCCTGAGGTAGCTGAGAGGAGGGGTGAAAGGAGCAGTCAGCAAGTAAGTTGATCCAACCCTTGCGGTCGTAGGTGTAATTCTCTCATACTGAATTAAATGATTGAATATACTAAACTGTTTAACAGTCAAATTCACAGAACCCACCTTGCTGCTGTCTGCACACCCAGCAATCGAGCATGCTCTCAGCTGGTAGGAGTACTCCTGGTATGGCTGAATGCCCCCTGTATCTGTGAAACTGAAATCCGTCCCACGAAAGCGCTCAGTTCCATCACGCAGAACAATGTAATGTGTGATAATGCCTAGTTCAATAAGAGATATTGTTTAGATGCAAAAAAGAACAACAAATCAGCTGAGAGTCCATTTTTAAAAGCGCGTGATACCCTATAAATCTGCCGCAAGCTAGCTATCACTCAGTTAACTTTTAAATATATCTCCAGCCTTTGTCATTCTTAGTACCTCTTTACTCTTCTATAAGCAGTTCCATTAAAAATAAAGCCACTTTGTTGGCTTTGGACTAAATAAAGGTGTTTTTGTGTCCTGGGACCAGTAATGAATAAACTGGCCTGTTGCCAATTTATGGTGAGGCCTGAATGACTGCTGAACAAAGGACGGCCTCCTACAGATAATTTATTGTCTCACTGCTGATGTCATGCTTGGTTATTCCTTGTTCTTGAGCAAATAATGGTGTAATTGATCATTCTGTGCTGCTAATGAAATGAAGTAAATACAGTTCCGTCTTTAATGTTGATTTGATTATTGTATTGCAAACCCTATTAAATTTTCAGATATGCCAAATGTGAAGGTAATGCTTTGCATTGGTGAATGCTTCCATTTTGCTAATTTTCTCCCACTTCTCCCTAAAGGCTCACAAGATCACTTTAAATGAAGAAGAGCAACCTTTCAGTCAATTTGGTCTCATCCTTCTGGAATATCTACTCTATCATCTTCCCATCACAGTATCAAGCTATTTCTTAAATGAGTCCAACGTCGTAGCATCAACCACCTTTCCTGGCAATCTACTCCACTCATAAATTGCCTTCTGTGTAGAGAAATGCTTTTTGGTGTTTGTCCTGAACAAGGTGCAAAACTGAACATGTGCACTCTTGTTCTACTGTCTTGGCTTCCCTGAAAGTATTGTTTGTGATTTACTTTCTCAATCTCTCAATAAATAATATCCACAACTTCTGTTTTCAAAGCTCAAGAGCCCTAGCTGGTCTAATCATTGCTCATTTCTCAAACACTGGGACTCTTATTCCCATCTACAGGGGAATGGTTCCACGAGTACCAATTGCCTTCCAATAACTCATCCAGTGACCAATATTCACTTGACAGTGAGTGTTGGCTGGCTATTCAGCTAAGCCTGTCCTCACCCTACATTCAACCCAGTTACACAGAGGTGACTCTGAGCTGCCACAAAGGTCACAATCACAAATAGTGGAGAAAAGTTGCAAAGACTCATAATACAGCTACTGGCGCTATCTGTGACACAAGTATTCGAGATAAAGCAGCTACAGGAGATACCTTCAACTTGACTAATCGTTCTTATCTGCAACACTCTTATTTTAAACAAGGTTAGGTTAACATTTCAGGCATCTGCACTGAAGGCTTCACTATACAGGCAGCTGAGGGTAGTGGCTCTTTGGAAATTACAGTGGGTTATTCTTGGCTTGTCAGTAAATATATTGACTTTGGTGTGATGCACCTACTATTCTCTGGTTGTCTATAAATTTAGCAACCCAGGTGGTGTCCGCTTATAATGGAAAAAACAGAAAATAACCCTGTTTTTCATACTTGACTGATTCAAGTAGTATACTTGCAAGTTTTTCTTTCAGATCATATGCAAAGTTTTATTGATGAATGAAATCTGGGTCACTGTTTGGGTTATTCCATGAAGGATTCAGGATTACATATTTAAACCCATGGCAAGAATCAGGCATTTTCATCTAACATTGAAGTGGTGAAAGTAAGTAGAGACATGCTGCACATTGCAAATTATCAAATCTTGCCCCTCTATTGCAAAGCAAATACGTAGATAAAGCCACCTAGTTCTCGTCTTCATAAAAAATAATTCAGTCATTACTTCCATGTTAAACATGTGTCAGGCTGGCTCAGCGGGATTTCATTCTCGCCTCTGAGCCAGATAGTTGTGGGTACAAGCCCCAAGTTGGGACTTTGAGCTTGTGAACTAGGCTGACACTCCACTGCAGTGCTGAAGGAGAACTGAATTGTCAGAGGTGCAGTCCTTCTGATAAAGATATTAAACCAAAGTCTTGTCTGTCTGTTCAGGAGGATACCTGAAATACCATGGCACTATTCAAAAAACAGAAGAAAACTTCTCCCCGTGTCCTGATCAGCAATCTCCCAAATAAAATTAGTTATACACTTCATTGCCATTGCTTTGTGCAAATTGGCTGCTGCGTTTGCATGCAAATACACAGTCACTCCACTTTACAAAATACATTAGGATGTTTTGACATGAAAAAGTGCTGTATGAAATGCAAAAAATTATTTTATGTATTAAACCTATTTTGAATGAGGCTTAAGAATGTCTTGTGCTTTAGTGGACACTTGGGACTTGGGCTACAGTTACTGATGCAGCCCCTCCATTGCAAGGTAAATCTTGCCCCTCTATTTCAAGGCAAACACGTAGATAGGCTGCAGTATTAGGCTGAGTAGACATCTAGCAGGGACTGCTATGCTATTTGGGCAGTAAATGTAATGACACTCTAATGATAGACACTTGTAACAGTCTTAAAGGTGCCACATTAGAATCTTCACATCAGTTCCCCTGCTGGCCAGAAGAAACATCTGAAATCAGACTGATCACAAATGTAGCACAAGCCTCGTCTCAGTCAATATCCTGAGATTTTCTCCAACAATTGGAGATGAGAAGTACGACTTCAGAATTGGGTTTCTTCCACTAAAATCCTGTGAGCAAACAGGCACTGATGAGATCATAAAAGATTCAAAGGCAGTAAGTGCACAGTGCCAAATTAAAGTTTAATTCTGACTTTACAATAGAAATGTACTAAAATCTGAATTAATTATTGCTTGCTTACTATTAATCTTCATTGAATTTCACTGATGTAAGTGACTAGCTGTTATTAATCACTGTTCTTTTAGTTCTGGTATAATACAAGGTCTTCAGTCATTCTGGTTTCTAAATAGAAACATTAAGAAGTGGAGTTACCCTGACAAGACCAAAGGACCTGCTACTCTGGAAATATTTACAGCATCCTGTCCAGACCTGATATTCCACCCAGTCTTAACCTGCAAAAAACATTATGTTCCAACACGTAAGACCACAAAGAATGATAGAAAATTCTTCAATTCAGTCTTAATCTGGAAGCCACCTGTCTTCAGTACTTAAAAAGAAACCGGCTTCTAAATTAATAACAATAATAATCCTTGCATTTGATATAGCACCTTATCAGGTCTTCAAGACACATCAAAGCGCTTCACAGAATGTACTGTAAAGTGAATTAGGACTGAATTATATTAATAATAACCATCCTTGCATTTGATGCAGTACCTTTCATGTCAAGAGGACGTGTGAAAGGTCTTCATAGGATTGACTGTAAAGTGTGGTGTCCATGTAATTTGTAGGCAAACGCGGCCGCCAATCTACACATAGCAAATTGGTTCCTTCCAATTGATGAATTTTCTCCAATTTTAATCTTAATCACAGTCTTAATTTTCAAAGACAAGTGGTCTCACAGACCTGAGATTCAGTGGAATTTCGGGTCAACAATCAATTTCTGCTTTGCATTTTGCAAAGGTGCCCAGCGACAATTGGTGAGGGGGTAATTCTGTAATGTTAAGCAGTTGCCATCTGATTGAAGTTGAATTGAAAGTAATTAATTCACACACAGCGTCAGTGAATGACAGTTTTCATGGGGGAGGGAAGGAGGGGGGGAATAACAGAGAGATATGACCTAATAAATAAGTTGTGTGTTCATGAATTTACCATTTGATTGTGCTGGGGCTCTCCAATTCAGCTTGATCATGTCTTTCCTGCGGTCCACTTTGCTCCACTCAGGTGGATGCACACCCCATGGCACATCTTGTTCAGTAGTAGCTTGGCTGATGTTACTAAAGCCACGTCCATAACTATTCCAAGCAGCTATTTTGTAATCATATGTAACATATGGATCTAAATTGGTATCTGTGGGAGGGGGAAAAAATTAAAATAAAATTTAAGGTCACAAGTCCTGTGATCCACATCTGTCACTCAGACATGCATCTTTCTCTCTATTAAATGCAATAAAAACAAATCTGATCAAAAAAAAACCTCTTAACCATTTCTCTGGTATTCAGAATTTCAAGCTGTATGAAGCAACTACTTTATAAAATGTTTGTTCCCCGCACACTGTGAAGCAGTGATAAACGCTAACATTTAATAGAAACAATTTTACCTGCTGGTGTTTTTCAATGATATCATCGACACGGTGGGCAAGGGAGGTGCAGCAGTTGAGGTGCATGTATTGCTTTGTAATACACTTAGCCACCAGATCTCATTCCATATGTAAACCCCCTTTCACCATGTATTATCCTATGTTTATAACTGAAGGTGAATACAGTTTGTGCTATCTGTGAAGTCTTTTGATGTTTTTTTTAAATATACCAGAAGAATAGCAATACATCTACATAATTTGTCTTTGGAAGGCGACCAAACTAACTGTCACAAAGACAGGAGTGGGCACTAAAATTTTTCATCTGAGCACAATAAACAAAATTCCACTGTATTTATGCTGTAAATAAAACATGTTCAAAATATCACTTATTGTGTTTTGGTTTCCTCTCCCCCTCCTATATTCCCACTGGAATTGTTGGGCTCAAATGCTGCTAAATACTGTCTGCAATGTCATGTGATGCAGCCTTTATTGGTCGGACAGAGCCTCTCTTTCTCATTGCTGTGATCGTAAGAGAAATCTATTTCTGCATCAAACCCCGAGATGTAAACCCAGAAACAATGGCAGGACAAAGGGCATTTTTTAAAATAATATGAATGGAGGCAAGCTCTAGTTGAAGCTGTTAGTAGCAGAGTTAGCTTTTCATAAGTGGTCAATAAGAGGCAGCAACTGGGGTTTATTAAAATAGAAATACACAGGCACATAAAAAACTCAACAGCAGGCACCAATTATATAAGGAGACAGAGATCACTCTGGGCTGGAAGCAAACCCAAGTCCCAGAGGTGAAAGGGCAATGTGCTAACTCACTGCACCGCACAATCCCACAACAGAATGTATTTAATTTGTGATGGGCTGACAGGGCAGTTATGTCCTTCCCATTGTTTGGAGAGTTTTACAGTGTAAACAGCTATGTTGTGCCCTGTGCACAGCTATCTTAAAAGGTCATATTGGGACACTATTAGAATAAATTACCAATTTAGTACCAAGGAGAACCTTCTCAATTAAACCCACTGTTTGCCATTATCTAAGGTTTGCTTCGGTATCTTGTGTATTGGCTTCTCATAGGACTATTATCTACAAACAAGCCCAAGTGACAGTACAGCTAAGTATATTAACAAATGCTGATATGTAAGTGCCCAAAGGGCTGTGCAATTGCATAATTTTAGAAATTTATAGCAAAACGACAACTTGAATGTTTTGTCCTTACTCATAATGAGGCTTTTAGACTTCAGGACTTTTGGTCTCATAGCGTTCAGAAACATTGCCTAAAGCAAAATCAAATATAATTACATCTCATTCTATCAAATAAATTTAAACATATAAATTAAAAGCACTTGGTAGGGAAATGTGCCACCCAGTCTTGCAGTTACCAGTAAACGTATATCTGCTGGGACCTCCGGTGTAGATGGTCTCCACTGGCCAGTAGCAAAGCCTTTCATTCTTGTCTTCGTTCACTGCGGTGGAAGCTGATGCCCCTTCTGACCAAGTGCAAATATGAGTTGCTGTGTTGAAATCACACTTGCCACAGTATGCCGTCGCTTCCTGGGACAGTGGGCAGAGAATACCGACACCGCAGGCCCGCTGTTGGGTTGGGAGTTCAACATGCGTTATAAGTGACAATCCAACAATAGAGTAACGCAAATGCAAGTACCAGAAGAAACAGCATTAGATCAATGGCAAAGCACTTGGATAACTTAAGGAGGAAATTAGGAGAAATAAAGTGTTGCACAGTATATATTCAAACTTGGGTACAAGAGGGCTCAGGATCCCAAAGTGCAAGATACGGGACGCATCTTGGTATTCAAAGAATGTGACACACAAGCGCAATAAACTTGAATTCTATTGTAGAAAAAGAAAATGAGTGCAGATATGCATCAAACCAATATTGTATAGATGTGTATCATATCAATATTAAACAGATGTGTATCATATCAATATTGTACATATTGTATATTAGATATGGGTCTAATATACATATTGTACATTAGACCTACATTGTACAGATGTGTATCACATTATAATTGTACAGATGTCTGTCACCTCAGTATTGTAATTAGATAAAGCCAATGATTCAACTGAGCACTGTTTATATTGCTTCTGCTTTCAATAGGTTAGTTGAAAAGTAATAAAATTAAGAACTTCAAATGTGGACAATAGAAATGGACTGCTGGGACTGGGAGGGAAAGGGATGCTTATCAATTTTGTCCCTGGAAGGAAGCAGGCAAGGGTTTAAGAAAGAAGATGTGGGGTTAGGTGAATATAAAATAATAATAATAATAACCCTTGTATATGGTATACAGCTTTTCAAATCAGGGGAGTCTCAAAATAAGTCACAGGATTTTACTGCAAAGTGTGCATTTTATGGTGAATGAGGCAGCCACTTTGTGCACAAACAGCCATGAAGTGAAGGATCAATTTTATTTGGGAAGTTGATGGCCAGAATAATCCTATAATAATAATCCTTGAATTTTGATATAGCACTTTTCACGTCGGGAGGACGTCCCAAAGCGCTTCACAGAATACATTGTAAAGTGAATTGACTGTATTTTTTTTTGTGGGTGAACGCGGCAGCCAATTGTGCACAGCAATGTCCCACAAACAGTCGTAGATTGAAATGACCAATTTATTATTGTTTTGGGTTTTGGAGGGATTATTATTAGGCGTAAGGAAACTTGCCCAAGGTTTCGCCCTGCCTGGAATTGAACTCAGGTCTCTCGCTTGCAAAGCGAGTGCTCTAACCACTGAGCCACAGGACTCCACACTGAGAGAAACTCCCTTCTCCTTTTGAATAGAGCTATGAAGTGAATGACCAAAACCCTTGGGGGTGGGAGATCGATCTTAGATCTCCTAAGATCTCATCTTAGGAGATGGAGGAGCGGTTTGGCTGGCTTCTTACAATTGGATAGATTTTGTATGGTTAGTAGAAGGAGCAAGTGTGTTGAGGTGAATGGCCTATTCTCTTTCAATACTTTATTATTTAATAATAATAATAATAATAATAAGTCCTTGAGTGACCCACAACTGACTACTGGAGAAAGTATCCCATGTGAAAATCAGGGTGTACCATTTGTTAGATTGCAGTTTATAGGTCAACTGGGTGTAATTTGTGATATTCCAAAACAGGATTTAAAGCAGTCATTGTGATTTCTGTTTACAAATATTGAAAGCTGATTCATTTGTGATATTTCCAAAATGGTCGAGTGCAATTATGGAATCCAGCAAACAGTGAACAAAGACCTGAGAGCGATATGCCATCAGCCTGTTTTGCTTTTCAGCCTTTGATTTGCACTCGTGGCTTTTGGAAATCACAAGTAACCGATTTGCAATTGTTGCAAGTCAAGATGGCTTTCGATGTTACAAATGGAAACTGCGATCAGCATTTTGAATCAAATTAGCAAATTTTGCAATGGGAAGATGCACCAGTGATTTTCTTGTATTTTATACATTTATCATTCTGGAAGAATATCTACATTGAAATGTGCTCCCAAGGTGATAACACCTTTTGCTTTCTTTAACAACAAACAGGAGGGGTATGTACCTACAGGTACCATTTTAGACTACTAATTAGCAAAATATATTGGGACTTGAAACAACTTGTTTAAAACAGGATTATGTGCAAGTTAACTCCACTTTTAACCTGTCCTGACAACACTCTGATAAGCAAGCACAATCAGGGCACTCTCCACACACATCTCTAAGGTGATACAATCTATTCCTGATTACAGTTTAAAGGAGCTCTGTGTCAAGCTAAAGTTAAAATTCACCATTTTTATATTGAAAAAACTATATTTCTGACATTTATGCTCTTTTCTTTTGGGAAATAATATTGTGGGATACAACATATAATCATGAAACAGGGTTTGCGCAAAATTTTGGAAAATTCTTAAATTCAGTTTGCATTTGGGAGCAAACTGGCTTTGGGAGCAAACATTAAAATCGAATTTAAGAATGTTCCAAAATTTTGCACAGTTTTGCTTTTTAAGTCAAGGGTCTAAAAGACTAAGGCCATAAGAAATATCTCTGAAGTTCAATGATGCTTTCAAGTCTGTCTTTTATGTTAAGTGCTGTGAAGGCTGGCCTGCAGAGTATAAGTCTCCAGGACCCTAAGTCCTGCAATCATCATTATGTATTCATACAATATACAGTAAATCAACTGCCTCATGTGAATCTTACAGGAACTGCATCAAAGATCTCTGGGGAACATTTCACTTTAAGTGTTCTATATCAACTCCTTGAACAGTGTTTGAAAATCCAGTGTTCTAATTGAGCGAAGAACTCCAGATTCAATCTCACCACAAAGGACAATCAGCTCAGCTAAATATCCCTCCATAATATATAACAGGTATCAACTAATCCCCCTCTTCAGTATGGGGTTGGCAATGGTGAGTTCACCACCATTATTTGAGCCAGGATCGTACTTTTTGAAAGCTGCTCAGCACCAGAAACATCAACAGTGGATCAAACAGCAGCAGAGATGGTGATTAATAAAAAGATTCCTAATAATTGGTATAATGCCTATCATGTCGGGAGGACGTCTCAAAGCACTTCACAGGATTTGTTGGTAAGTGTTATGAATTTTGCAGATGAACAAAACAACCATAGCAATGTGCCAAAAACAGCCATGAAGTGAATGATCAGATTTATTGGGGGGTGGTGGGGGTGAATGTTGACCAGGATACCAAGAGAAACTCTCTTTTCTTTTCAGAGACAGCCAAGGAATCTTTAATAACCACCTAAACAGCCTCAGTTTAACATTTCATTTAACCTCCAACAATGCAGTGCAGCCACTAGAATGCAAGCAACATCCAGTGTTATTTAAATATTTATTTTTTGGGAGGGAAAGGATTCAATTATTTTGTTCCTTTCATTCTTTTTGTCTGCACCGTTTCATTTGTAGCCTGAGAAATCAACAGTTTATTGGGGTTGGGTACCTTCGGCTCAAAATTCCACCTTAATTTGGAAGCCAGTTTTTCTATAGTTCTTAAAGAACTGATTTCCAAATTAAGTCTCAATTTAATTCTTAGCACTTCTGCTGGTGAACAAAATTGTTCACCTGTAATTCTGAGCAATCTTGAATGTTAAGAACAATGGTCTTACTGGCTAAGACTGAATGGAATTTCAGGCCCATCGTTAAAATCAGATTTGATTAAATGCGGTTTAATATTCAGTGTTGTAGGGAGCACTGAGTCAGTGGCCAATGTCTTCTCAGAACTTCAGTGAAAATAATGAGTACAAGAAGAATCCATAGGCATTGGTACAAAATAAAATCAAGGAATAAATGGAAATGATTGCTTCGAGACCCACTATCCTGCGTGAAGGATGTTATATTGGGCACTCAATCCATGACTTTGTGGGACACTGTTGTGCGCAATTGGCTACCGTGTTTCGCCTCCAAAATAGACAGTCAATTCACTTTACAGTATATTCTGGGAAGCACTTTGAGACGTCTCGAAGACATGATAAGGCACTACATGAAATGTAAGGATTATTATTATTATATAAATGCAAGTTGTTGTTGTAAACACGTAACATTCATAGAATTACATTGAATGCTACAGCACGGAAATCTATTTGCCCCAGTTGAGCCTCACCTGAACTAATCATCTCCCAAACCCCTGTTCCCTTCTCCCTCAAATGTCCCTCCATAATATATAAAAGGCATCAACTAACCCCCCTCAATGTGTTAAGTTTAAACTCAGAACCACAAATTTGTTTCCCTTCTGCAGTAATCCTTTCTGCAAAATTGCATTCCCCAAACTGTATGAAAATGATCAGTCGTTTATTACCACTGTGAGATCATTGATGGAAATTTAACCACTATAATAATTAGAAAGTAACATTTCAGCAAATCTTTCAGGGCAAATCTATAAGTCAGTTTTAAATGTTCGGTAACACCGTCCAATATGTTTTATTGATTTGCAATAAGCACTGGCTGTGAGACATTTACAAGTAGGCTGCAATCATATTTGAATCCATAAGATTATCATCAAAAATATTACCATTCATTTTCAGCTTCCAATGTATTTTTGTGACAACTTTATTATGGTGTTATAGATTCAGCTTGAAACAAATAACATGTTGCATAATGAGTAGAAGCATTGATTGGAAAACTATAATCCGTCTGATGGATTCCTAAGATATACTTAAACCCAGAGCGAGAATTCAAAATAAAATACCATCTGAAGCCTGGATTAGAGTACACAATGGAATTAAATCACTCTGTTCAGTTATTATTTGTACTGAATGAAAGACAGACATCCTTGTTCATGTCACTAGGTTTGTCAGTTTTCTCTCCCTTTTTCCACTGTAAACAGGTATCAGGAAACATGTCTATCCAGGAATCTATGGATATCTTCATGGTGGCCAGAGTCAGCAACTTTTTTTTATGTATCTTCTTGTTGTCTTGGATATAAATATCATCAGCAGTAAAAGAAGTTGACGAGAGCTAAAGTTTGAGGTGCAGCTTTTTTTTAACTCCCTTGTGGGTTTTCTGTGGTAAACTGACAGCTGAGACTGGTACAGTGCGATGTTCATAGAGGGGATTAAAGGTGCTTGGGATGTCATTACTGCAGATTTCCAGAGGAATAATCTGCAGTTGATTATGGGGAAAACCGTACATCCAGTATATATCATAACCACGCTGGACACTTAAAGTGAAGTAGTGTCATTTCGCAATGATGCAAAGACACAGGTAAGTAATCACATCTGCAAATGGATTCCTCATTACAGGAGGTTGTCCTCTTTTTCAAAATAATAACCTTACTGACAATTTATTCATGATTTGGGATGCAGTGATAGACCCTAGATAGCAGTACTGAACGTAATAGCATCACATCTCTCAGTGATTCACAATCAATGTTTATTACAAATTAATAACATGTTACATATGTTATGCAAAATTTATAATCTGGGTATAGCTCTGTATTTACATCTCTGCTGAAATATTACTAATTAATTATTATAGTGTAACGTGATTTTATTAAACATGTTTTACTTATTCATACCAATGTGATTCTGATCTTATTAAACAACTATACATTTTTTATAGCTGGAGCATTAGAGCTTTGTTAAACATTAAACACTACATTTTAACAGACATTTGAAATGAAGTGATACCAATCTGTTTTAAATAAAATAGCTTATGCATCACTTTGTTGTTTGTTTCCAGCACATGTATTCCCCAGTCTCAGCTCTTATCACAAGGAGGAAGTCATGATGAGTGTTTGCCAGTAACTGTGCAATTTAATGTTTTAATGGGTACTAAATAATATCAGTCTACAATATTTGCCTGGAAAATATAGTCACTGCATTTTACATTAAATCCTGTGAAAGGCTTTGAGACATCCTCCTGACGTGAAAGGCCCTATATCAAGTAGTGTTATTGTTATCAGGCTTTTGGCGAGGGTCATAATTTTATTGTCATAGAGCATAAAGAATACATTGTGTGTATGTGTGTGTGTGTGTGTGAGAGAGAGAGAGAGAGAGAGAGAGAGAGAGAGCTTGGCACAGTTCATGTTTCTCTTCATTTTGTATATACTTAAAAATGGCAGCACTACTATAATTGTAATCTATTTTACAGTGGTATTCAAGAGGTGATGATGAAATAAAGCTTGCTTTACATTTTTTTCAAAAGGACTCACTGTAATTTTCTCTAGCCTGTGTTGAGGGTGCTGGCTTATACTGGAGAACAGTTCCAGGTTCATTAGCCAACCTCCGACACCTAATCTAAATGGACCATTCTTGATGTATCAGGGTATAAAGTGAATGTCAACAGATTGAGCAAACATATAACAACAACTTGCGCTTTTCATGCAGGGTAGCATTCCAGAGCGTCCTATACAGGCATCAAGGCTAAACCTGATCTTGTCTTTGTGACCATATCCATACTTTCTAGCAGGGATGAGTGGATAGCAATCAAGAGAAAAAAAGGCATTATTCTTTCCTTTCAAACTCAAAGCGCAATGCCTTCGTTCTGTGCTTGCTGAGATCAGCCGAATCAGCACAGACCAAGAACTTGCTGGTGTACATGGCTCAGTTCCACACTACACAGTGAAGTTATCCACTCAGCCATATGACAGCTAAGGTAAGCTACGTATGAACAGTTCCTTAGCTTGTAGTTAATAAATCCCTTCTATTTTCCATTGACCCGTAATGAATTTTTATAAAAAATAATCAGATGGTTTAGTCAAAGGATCAATTACTACATCTTTGCTAAAGGTTTGTGAAAGACTTGATAAAGACCTGTTTTGATAAAGAATGTTGCTTTCCCCTCTTTCACATCCACAATAGTTAAGCTGAACAATTGGAATCACACACAGATAAGTGTGTTCATCCAGCAACCGAGGCAGATAATGCACATCTGTCCTGGCAAAAACACTTAAACCTTAAACTAGTTACATCAATCACAAGCGTGAGGTAACAGCGAGTTTAGTACGCAAGAACAATGGAGCAAAGCAAGCATATTACCTTTAGAACTGTTCCACTTGAAGTCCTGTCAGCGCAGACCTGTTTTGAGGGATTATAACCGACCCCATTACAACATTCCTCATTACCAGATATAAGTTCAGTACCACAACACTTCATTTGAGATGCATCACTGATGTGGGATTTCCTTGACCCATCGGGACCAGAACAGCAAAGGGCAATTGATGCATTCACCAGGTCCTGTCCACAACAGACCATCCCTAGCACAAAGAAAAACACCGTACTTTATTTTTTTTATCACCTTTAGTATAGCAATGCCACTCTAATTATTACCAAGCTTGTTCCAGTATGATAAATTGCTAATTGCTTAATACCCTAATCAGTGTTCATTCTTTGCACAGATAAACTATGACAGCGCCATTAATTTAAATAGCAATTTCACTTAACAGCCAGAACTACACACCAGATTTTATGCAACATTTCAGCAACTGCATCCATCACTGCGGCATTCTGACATAAAGATGTCTGACGTGTGCTAACTCACTTAGAGAGAGCAGATGTTGCCGAGTGTGGTTTGGTAGCAATTCCCAGACTGCGTCACTTCAGCCTGAATGAGTAGCACATACAGAGCTCTGCAAATTTTCTAAAATAGCCTTGTGTATACTCTTTGAACCCTGACTTTGTTTTAAAATATCAATTGCACTGCTTGACTTCTGTCCTTTCAGCTGCTGACCTTATTTTTTTTCTTCACAGTATTGCCTAATTCATAATTTTTATTTCAAATTATTTTTTTCAAAAAAAACCTAAAGGTCAGGAAAGGTTTTCTGTAAAGGATATAATAATAATCCTGACATTTGATATAGAATCTTATCACGTCCTTGAGACATCTCAAAGCGCTTCATAGAGTATACTGTAAAGTGAATTGACTGTATATTTTGTGGACGAAATATAAGTTTGAGATGAAAGATTCTTTGAGGTTCTAGCTGTGAAATATGCCTAGTCTTTGTGTAACCTTCTTATAGGAATTCATCTGTTTATTGAAACAGTGTAAACTTATGGTTCGAGTTTCTTCCCATTTTCTGACCTACAATATATAATAATCCTTATAACAATAATAATCTTTGCATTTGATATAGAGCCTTATCACGTCTCTGAGACGTCTCAAAGTGCTTCACAGAATATACCATAAAATGAATTGACTATGTTTTGTGGGCGAAACAATTGTCCCCATAAAATCAACCATTCCTTTCAGTCTGTAGGACATTGCTGTATGCTTACTGGCTGCCACATTTGGCTACAGATACACAGTCACTTTACAATAAATCCTGTGAAGCACTTTGCGATATTCTCGACAAGGTGATAAGATGCTATATCAAATGAAAGGTTTATTATTATTATGACATGATAGGGGAATCACCAGAGTGCATCAAGGTCTTTCGCTCTTCTAAAATTAAATAAACAGTACTGTACATTCACAATTTACCATGGAAACGTGGGGTGAAAATATATATAATAGTTAGCACTAGTTTTAATTAACATATCATACATATTTCTGCCCCCCCCATTTTGTGCATTTTGGATATCCCGACAATAACTAGGGTGTACATGAGGTCGAATTACCATCAATTGGCAGGGAGCATGAATGTATTTCTCTACTTATATCAATAGATATACGGAGACCCAACACAGCCAATTTGCGCACAGCTAATGTCCTTCAAACAGCCATGAAGTTTTGTTATTTGGGGGATTGCTGGCCAGGACACAGGGAGAATTGCTCTTCTCTTTTTGAATAGTGCCATGGTATCTTTATTGTCCACCTCACCGGGCAGAGGGGACCTTAGTTTAACATCTCATCCAAAGGACAGCATCTCCAACAATGCAACACACCACATGGGGCATAAACTGACAACCTTCTGACTCAGAGGCAAGAGGCACGCTAGGGAGAACTAGGGAAAAAGATGCAAATCATCAGAGAACTGCCAGGAATAGAATACACTGCTCGACCCAAAGGAATTCAGGATAAATCTGAAGGGAAATAAACGAGCAGGAATAAATAATAATAAAAATCTTTGCATTTAAATAAACATTTGAGGCTTATAACACTGAAAAGTCTCAAAGCACTTCACAAGTAATGGCTGCCTAGTGTACAAGTGTAGTGACTCTGTATTTGTAGGCAAACTTGGCAGCCAATTTGTACACAGCAAGATCACACAAACAGCCATGATAATTTAACCGGAAGATTGTTAGCCAGGGAGAAACTCCTTACTCTTTTCAAATAGTGTCTTTGGATCATTTACTGAACAGGCAGGCAGGGCTTCTATTTTATCTCTCATCCAAAGGACAATATCTCCCTCCAACACTGCACTGGAGTGTCAGTTTAGACTGTGAGCTTAAAGGCCCAAGGTGGAGCCTGAACTGACAAGCTTCTGTCCCAGAATAGAGAGGGTGCTAAATGAACTAGGTTGTCAGCAAACCCCAGGAGATGGAATGGGAAGTATATTTTTGAATTCTTTTCAAAGAGCATTAACTTGACATTAGCAATTAAAATGATAGAATCATAAAGCATTACTAGTTTTTATAAAAAGGGCAAAATACTGCAGATGCTGGAAATCTGAAACAAAAACAGAAGTCGCCGGGAGCACGTAGCAGGCCAGGCAGCATCTATGGAGAGAGAAAGGTGAGTTAACTCTTCAGGTCAATGACCTTTTGTCTGATGAAACCTGAAATGTTAACAGACATTACTAGTTTAGTCAACCCATCAACTGTGGATCACTGATTTTTTCCCACATAAACAAGTGAATCTAATCTCATATTCCTGAGGGCTGAAATTCCAGCTGTGCAATGATTTCACCAGAAGGTAACCAATGGAACTATATTTCAGCTTGAATCAGCAGCTTGACAAAAGAAGGACATATGTTTTCAATTTGAAGGAATATTCTCCATTCTGCTGGAAGTTTATAGAGGGCAGTGAATTCCAAAAGGTAGAATTGAAGATTGGCTGAATTTGGTAATGCTGATTTATTGAATTAACAGTAAACTTAGTCTGATCAGGTCATTCGCTTCATGACTGCTTGTGGGACATTGCTGTGCACAAATTAGGAACATACATCAAGGTCCCATTTCCCAGTGTCTTCACCACCATTCCCTGATAAACCGTTTTGAAACATCTCAAAAAAAGTGCTTAACAGGATTTACTGCAAAGTACAGTGACTGAGTATTTTGTAGGCAAACATGGCAGCCAACGTGTGCACAGTAATGTCCAACAACTAGCCATGAAATGAATGCCCAATTTCATCTGAAAGAGTTTTAGCCAGGACACCGGGAGAAACTCCCTTTTGTTTTCAAATAATGCCACAGGATCTTTATCGTCCACCTAAATAGAAGGACAAGACTTTATTTTAACATCTCACCTGAAGGACATGACCTCTGACTATCCCAGCACTGCACTGGAGTGTCAGCCTAGACTATGAATTCAAGGTCCTGGCATGGGGTTTGAACCTATAACATTCTGACTCAGAGAAAAGAGTGCCTCAACAACAACACCTTACACTTCCCAATACCCTTTAATACTCTTTCTTCCCAAATATCTATCTATTCCCTAATTGATCCTACCTCTCTGACTCCCTGGGGCCATACATTCGGCATTTTCACAACCCTCTGAAGAAATGATTTCTGATTTGCCTTCTAACAGAATGAGATTAATCATAAATGAAGGTTGTTATGGAGGAAAAGACCTCAGCTAATTTTGTGCTGTTTGTGCAACTAAAGTCCCACCAACTAACAATATGATTAATAGTCAAAACTTTGGAATTTTTTTGGAAGAATTTTGATGAGAGCACAAGATAACTGGGGGAAAAACAACTTTTTATCTCTTTTTCAATTAGCATCGGAGGGGATGGGGTGAACAGGTGGTATAGTGGGGAGGGGGGAGTCAGGACCTAAACCTTAGCTCTAATGCATATCTCGCTAAAATATGCAAATATCTGGCTTCCAAATGGTATGTAATATTGAGAGTGGAGAACAGCTTGCAGTGAGTTTAGGATTCAATCTTGTTTTTCTGCTGAAATTCATAACCTGCTTGGGCTTTACTCCTGTGGTTTACGAATCCTCAGAAATTGATAATTGAATTCCAGTCTTGTAAATCGTTGCTGGTTAATTCTTTTATTTGCTGTTGCCTTTAATATATATCTACAGCTACCTGTTGTATTATCTATCGACAACCTTCATGGTAAATGGGATTTACTTTTCACTTCCCCATAAATACGTTAGCAAAGCCATCAAAGGCTTCAGTGTCTATAATGCAAATACTGTGGCTCAGTACCAAACCACTATGAGACAGGATCGGGATTTGTGCCTATGCTTCGCCAAGTGGTGAATTCCCAATTCTCGACAGACAGTAAGACATTATGGAGACAGTAAGACACACAGGGCTCTCTCTTTCTCAACAGTAACCAATGCACGAAAATGGTGAGAGACTGGGGGAAGGGAGTTGGGGCCAAGGGGAAGGGAGGGGAGGGTTCCATCTACTGGGAGAAAGTTGTGCCGTAGGAAGACTTCGCTGGTGAAAATCAAACAAATTACCAAAAAGGAAAGAACTTTATTCCGTATTATGTTGCACATTTCCCCAGCAGAATCACCACAAAAATAGTGCCAATTCTCCATTAAAAACACTGTATAAATCGGGATTCATATAAAAGCAAATCACATTTGAACACTTCTCCTCTGCCTTGCCTCTATCCCTTGCCAAGACAGTGGAGGGTGATCATAGGTGGGGTAAAAGACCAAGTTTTTGACCGCCCCTATGGTTACCTCCCACTCTCCCTTTTCCTTTGCTTTGCACCCAACCCCATCACTATGAGATATTATCCTATGAGAAGGGTGCTACATAAATTCAAGTAGTTGTTTTTCCCTTGCATTGCTTGCAAGCTGATTTTTTTACTGGCCAATGCATTTTTTCTCTCTGTTGAGCGGAGGCTGTACATGTGCATTTAGTAAAACATTCATCAAACTACTTTTTAATACAAATAAAAAAAATTAAAAGATATGCTGTGATCTTGCATTTTAACATTATTGCCGTGGATCAGTTGTCCTAGGATTTCTAGAGCATGTACTGCAGAGCCGCTAAGCGTTTGAATGTTTGTGATCTGAATTTGCTTTGGGACAGATGAATGGAGGACACTTCGGTCTTGACTGTTGTGTCAAATGTGTAATTCATAAGGTTTATTGGGGGAGGAAATTGTATTTATAATAATAATAATAATCCTTGCATTTGATATAGTGCTTTTCACGTCTTCGCGACGTCTCAAAGCGCTTCACAGAATATGCTGTAAAGTGAACTGACTGTATATTTATGGGCGAAACGCGACAGCCAATTGCGCACAGCAGTGTCCCACAACCAGTCATGAATTGAAAATGACCAATTTATTATTAGGCGTGTGGAGTAAGGAAACTTGCCTAAGGTTTTGCCCTGCCTGGAATTGAACCCAGGTCACTCGCTTGCAAGGCGAGTGCTCTAACCACTGAGCTATAAGGCTTTGTTTGAGTTTGATAGAACAAACAAGGGAAAAAGAAACTGATGATTGTAATGCATCACATAAATCGACATGCAAATATTCTGAGTGGAGTTATCAGAATGTGTCAAGATATATATGCACAGCAACAACTAGATGTCATGATAATAATAATAATCCTTACATTTCATACAGCACCTTTCACATCAGTAGGACATCTCAAAGCAGGGTTTATTCTATTATTATTATTCTTATGTGCAGTGACTGTGTATTTTTATAGGCCAAAGCGGCAGCTAGTTTGCGCCCAGCAATGTCCTACAAACAATTATGAAGTGAGTGACCAATTTTATCTGGGAGATTGTTGATTCGGACACTGGGATAAACTCCATTTTCTTTTCGAATAGTGCCAAGGGATTTTTAACATCCACCTAAATGCCTGGGGATGTCCTCCTGATGAGAAAGGTGCTATAAAAATATAATTTGTTGTTCTGATCAGCCGGGTGCCTGACACATACAGAAACTCTGTAACATGCTTAAGAGTATCCAAACTGGACAGAGTTTCACATATGTATGTTATTTAAACATGGAAACTTCCCTGTGTCTAGAATGGAACACACACTCTTTCCCTGGGGGGATGAAACCTGCTTATCTAATTCCAAAGAGTATTAAGCGCTGTTTGGCAAAAGACAATGTGCAGATTGGCCTCTGACAGCATTTTTGCCATGCATCCAATTCTGCTGCATTTTTGTCTCTATCCATGAATTTACTGCTGCATTCCCTGACTCAGAACAGACAACAAAAAAACAACTTGCACCCTTCACGCGGGGTAATTATCCTGGATCGCTTGGCAGTAGTGGAGTGTGACAGTTGATCCATTGTTAATTTTGACCAAACACCCAGCACATCTGCACAAGTAGCCAGGCTGAGAATGTCCTCTTGTTTCTGTGAAGTAGATTTGAATTCCTGCCTCCCCTAATGGCACACCTAAATAGTAATAATAATACTTACATTTGGTATCGGGCCTTTCATGTCAGGAAGATGTCTTTTAGCGCTTAATAATAATAATAATCCTTGCATTTGATATAGCGCTTTTCACGTCGGGAGGACGTCCCAAAGCGCTTCACAGAATAGACTGTAAAGTGAATTGACTGTATATTTGTGGGCGAACGCGGCAGCCAATTGCGCACAGCAATGTCCCACAAACAGTCGTAGATTGAAAATGACCAATTTTATTATTGTTTTTTGTTTTTTGGAGGGATTATTATTAGGCGTGTGGAGTAAGGAAACTTGCCCAAGGTTTCGCCCTGCCTGGAATTGAACTCAGGTCTCTCACTTGCAAAGCGAGTGCTCTAACCACTGAGCTCCAGGACTTCATAGGATATGCTGCAAAGTTTAGTGTGTGTATTTGGATGTGAATGCAACAGCCAATTTGCGCACAGCAATCTCCCACAATAAACCATGTAGTGAATCAAAAATTCTGTTGGAGCATTGTTGGCCAGGACACCAGGAGAAACTCCATTCGCCTTTCAAAGAGTGCCATCAAATCTTTAACAACCATCTGAACAGGCAGGCAGCACCTCAGTTTAATGTGCTCATCCAAAGGACGGCACCTCCAACAATGTGGAATGCCTGAGGCTCTATATAAGTGTGACAGCCTAGACTATGTTGGTGCAAAGGCACATAGTTTGAACCCACAACTCTTACTGAGAGGTGAGAGTGCTACTGCCTGAGCCTGGCTGACACTCAGCTAAGTCTGTGAAGTGCAGTGTGAATGATAGTACAAGAACAAATGACCATCCACCAATCTGTAGCAATTAACCACCTTTTGATCAAAAATCAATCTCTAACAAACTGCAAGGTACAAACCAGTTAATAAACCTCAGACTTAGAATCACCTGATCCACATGAACTGGCAAGAGTCACTATTCATGACGGGCTTCATTTTAAAAAGTACAAAACTAAGCTGCATAAACAGAGTACACCACAAATTTCTGTCCTGATTTATACAGATTTTTCTCAGACACGACTCCAGTGAATTAAAACGCAGAGTGTATATATAAAATCTGTTTGTCACCCAGGAAAGAAAAAAATGCTTTGAAGCAGACACTTTCAAAGAATGCCATCTTACTTTTAAATATGTAGTTTGTGAATAACTGAATTTTCCCTTCAAATAACGACCAAAGGGTTGTGCTCAAGTTCTAAATAGACAGGAATGTTCCATTTGTACAGAAACATTACTGGACAATCCCTAAAATCCTGAATTCTGAGGAATAGGAATTTCTCAGCACTTATTCCATCCACTGGGATAGGAATTTCTTGCAGATCTTTTTTAAGATAGAACCCAGTTGTTAGTCAATTGGCAGATCACTTTCTGGGGATAATAATCCCTTAAAAAAAAATCAATCAAACACTAATAATTTGGTCACTCAAACCACAACGGTTTGTGGGACACTGCTGTGCATAATTGTCTGCTGCATTTCACGCACAAACGATACCGTCAATTTACTTTAGAATATATTCTGTGAAGCGCTTTGAGATGTCTCAACAATGTGAATAAGGCTCTTTATCAAATGCAAGAATTATTGTTATTATAAGCGGTGTCATGAATGTTGTCTTATCCTTTAACTGATGGGCCACAAACTCCGCTTGGTTTCGCACCTTACCTGTAATGGGTGTGTATGTAGTGCCTATTTCTTCATCGCCACAGCAAACATGGGCTTTGCTAACTGCTTGTCCACCACAACATTGTTGGTTAAAACCATCATGAAGTGAATTGGCACAACAGATCTGGTCCCCTTCTTTGAAGTAAAGGTGGCCCCCACAACATGAATCGCCAATTCCAACAGAGATCTGGTTCCGATCCACAATGGGACAGCAAACCTCACCTGAAAGGGGTATATTTATTACATTAGTACAAAGAGGGCCAAATACAACATTTTGTGCTGAATAGTTTTATGACATTTAGTAAAAAATTCCTAATGCTCTTTCATTTGAAGTGGTTTAATGTGTTCTGATACCAAGTTTACAATTTTCTATTTGTAATAAAGTTCTATCCACTTACCTCAAACCCATTTATGCCGATATTCCGCTAATAGATAAAAAGTGAAATGTTAATCACAAAATATCTATTGTCCGCTTGTGACTACTTATATCAACCAAACTGGAAAGATCCCTGACATGTCCACCATAGGTGGGTAGGACTGTAGAGCCATTTTCTTTTGGTCAGCTGGGTGTGTTGACACCTGTGGAATGGAACCTATTTCCATGCTTAGGAGTATCTGAACAAAACTCAGAGTTCCACATACGTACCCACCTACAGCTCCAAGGAGGATAAGATAAGGCGGATAATAACATCATTAATAATATTTGTAGAGGTAGAAGGTTTTGCACTGAAAAAAGACACATACAGGATAATCTTTATCTAAAGTTTGGCTCTGAAACAGCTATATCTAAACATCTAAAGTGAGGCTCTGTCAACTAGTCTTGAATTCCAGCCTGTAACTTTCAATGAACACGAATCAGCTGTTCAAAGTGAAATTTAATTTCTACAATCTCAATTATTTGAGATTTAGAGAGAAGAAACCTAGATAGCAGTTGCATAATATATATATATATATATATATATAAAATAGACAGTCTGAGATTTATATTTTATTACATTTCTAAAGCCAAAATATTTACCCTTTCACTTACCACAAAAAACAAGAAGAACGTAATTTTAATTTCTCATCCCAGCAAGCACAGAGAAGGCACAGGAAGTGCACAAACACCAGCTTAAAAATAACAATGAGTCAAGCACTTACAGTAGCTCAGAGGTATTATCAGCTATTATGCATGAGATCCTCAGTTTACATGCAGCTTTCTCCTACATCTAACAGGCTCACTATGACCCTCAGAAGACTGGAAGTACGCAGATAGTGCTGCAACCTACAGCTTAAGCAGGGATGAGGTTTTGACTTTTATAGGGGCTGACATTGTTGTTAGAATGTTATAACCATGTGGAGGTCGATTCGTTTTTTTCATCCAGTAGCTAAGTCTGCCGATTATGGACACGTTATAATACATAATGTGCTTAAGCTTCTGAGGTTCATTTGTGCAGTAATAGGGAACAAAGCATCTCTCCCATTTAAAATGTCAAGTGACTCAATGTCAGCAAACGACTGGCAGTAGAACACAGATAAAAATTTAGGCTTGCCTACCTGGCAGGACTCTTACGTAATAATTCCCACAACACTGATACCCAGGTTGGAATGCGTAGAGTTGCCCACTGCAACACACAACTGAGGAGTTGAAACTTGAAGCAACATATCTGTCATCACAGCAAGTGTAGCCTGGCTGACGGCTATAAAGCACTCCATCACAGCAAACCTATTAAGAACATTATGGGACATTTCATGCAAAGCACATCATCGTTTTACCCACAGTAACATGTTGGAGTAAAATCTGAGCTGTAATGAATCTGCTCAGCTGTAAAGTAGGAACCCAGTGAGTCAAGAAAGAGTTTAGAATGGTTCAAATCTGCTCAACAAACTAACCTTTGCATTGCTGATTATGACAAATGACTCCAGCCAAACACTGGCATATACATGTATTATATATATATATATCTATCTCCAAACGCTTAAGTTTAGTATTGTTGTTCTTAATTTGAAAGTTACACATTAAACAGTTCTTCAAACTGAGTAACTAGTGGAAAACAAAAAACAAAAACAATGCAGTACGGTACTTGATTTTAAAAAAGGGAATAAAAGCAAATAAAAGCAGAAATCTGAAGTAAACTCAGAAAATGAAAACTAACACAACAGCTCAATCAGCATCTGAAAGATAATGTCATAGTTTGGGTCCTACCCTTCATCAGTCATAAAAATATTTTAAAGGATGAGGAAGAAGATGGGATGATCTAGTATCATAGAATTTTAGAGCACAGAAGGAGGCCATTCGGCCCATCGTGCCTGCGCCGGCTCTTGGAAAGAGCTCTCCAACTCGTCCCACTCCTCTGTTCTTACCCAATACCTCAGCAAATTGTTCCTTATCAAGGACCTAGGCAATTGCCTTTTGATAGCTACTATCAAATCTGTTTCTACCACCCTTTCAGGCAGTGCATTCCAGACCGTAACAACTCTCTTGGTTCTTTTAGCAATTATCATCTAACTTTTTTTAAAACATTAAACATCTAATTATCTAATTTGAATACAACCTGCAGAACAGGTTCAACAAGCTCAATGTCCTGCTCTTATTCTTATAATCCTCGCGAGCACCTCTCTTTTTCCCAATGCTTTGTAGTCCCAGCATTTTCTGTTATTGTAACACCACCACAAAATGTTACACGTTTCCTGAGGAACGCTCTTTCTTTCATCCTCTCTATTTCGACTCTCACAAACATAACACCTGGTCATAGAACCCTGTGCCATCAGTCGTGGTTATCTTACATTTTAAAACAATAAACAAACCCAATAGACATTTAAGCTTTATTTTCCTTCCCCTTCCTCCTCAGCCAAATATTAAACAAGGCACTGGAATGGGTTTCTGATTCCAAATAGTGGTTTCTGATTCCAAATAGTTTTGCTCAAAGTTTCCTCTTTCAATTTTCTCCATTCCTTTCCCGAAAGAGTGCAGACTTGTCCTGGAGTACATTAGTACAAGCCCTCCATTAGACAGTTTAAGTGGCCATTCTTCAAAGCTGAACCTAGATAGTAAGCGCTAGCAGAAGCTGCTGTCCCAGCCAGGCTCGATCCTTGTGCAATTTCCAGCAAGGTCACTGGATAACAATAAGGAGAAGGGATCTTAGCTCATATCTGTCTGTTCTCTCTTGAAGGGAAGCATTTCAAAAGAACCACTTTGTGATAATCATCTCAATTTACTACAGAATTACATTTTGCTACTACGGTATGTTCACAATAATTAACAGAGGAGTATTCAGTACCTGACTCAATGGCTGATAACAGGCGTGCTCACAAATATTTTCAATTCTTTTACACTCAACGTAGGTGCACTGTTGGTTTGCTTTCGGGCTCATGATCTCCACACAATGGTGCAAAGTGCTTCTCCAAAGCTCATAACCCTTTAGGATTCCATTTGGTCGACCAGGAGATGTCCAATCAATTCGAAGAGATCTGGCCAAATATAGCAGAACTACATGAGTGGTATCAAAAAGTGCTGCTCTGATATTTGTTGACAGGTCTAGACACTGTTAGACTAGACAGTGTAAGATTGAACATTATCAGACTGGACAGTGTAAGATGAACAATATAAGACTGGACAGTGTAAGAGTGGACGGCAGAAGACTGGATAGTGGAAGACTGATTTTTGTTCTGTTTAGTTAGGCTAACAAGTGTTGACAAGTCATTTTGCCTCTTTATACCACAATTTGTTAGTAAAATGACCAAGAACTATAATTCCCAACAACAACAACAACATGCATTTATATAGCACCCTTCACATAGGATAACATCTCAGAACACTTTTACATGGTGGGGTTGGGCACCAAGTAAAGGGGAAGGAGGAGGGGGAGATGACGATAGACACGATTGAAGAAGTAGATTTTCAGATGGGATTTAAAGCAGTTGGAGATTAGGCAAGGTGGCGGGATAGAGGCAAAGGGAGATCCTGAGGTTAAGTGTGGAGTGACTCAATGCTTGGCCCGATGGTGGCGTGGAGGAGTAGGGGACATGCAGCAGGTCTGTGTTAGCTGAGTACAGAAGGCAGTGAGAAGAGTGGGGTACGAGCAAATAAGAGATTAGTAGTTAGTGGGAGAAATAAACCAATTTCATGAACAGTATTTGTGCCAAAATGACTTGATTGATTCAGAGACAGCAAAATCTGTATGGATGGGTTTTGCTTAACCAATTGACCGTATCCAATGTTTGTTTAACTGAGGCTGGTGCATCTTATGGACACTCATGCTTTAAATATATTTAGTTGTGATACCCATAGAATAGCAATATTCTAAAGGCTGTCAAATGTAAAAACAATATTTATAAAAAGTGCCATAATGCATCATACACAGCGCAGTGCCATTCTAAGATAAAATCTGGTGAATTTCAAGTTCCTTTGATCAGGAGTACATTATCCTGTGAGATATCACAGACATGTTTAAAGTACAAATCATAAGAGCAAGCAATGTAGGAATTTTTATTTAAATGAAAAGTTTATGCGTATTAATAATCCTTGCATTTGAGACAATGTTTTTCATGTCAGGAGAACTTCTCAAAGTGCTTGACAGGATTAAACTGTAATATTGTATTACCCTCTTGGAGAAAACTTATGTAATTGAAAAGGAATATGATAAAACAAAGCAGCAATTAAATAAGCAGTGTTGTTGAATAAAATTCTGTTCAAATTAGCTACTTTTCACAAAACTGTGAAGTGCAAATGAAGGTTGGGTACGTCTGAAATGTGGATTCAGATCAGCTTAAGTGGTATACCACATTCCTTGTATAAACAACGGTAAACCTTGCAATCAATATAGAAACAGAAAGCATTGACAATTCAATTCTTAATTAGAAAAGGGCTTTCCAAACCCTGACAATTTGTTATTGTACTAAAACAATGGTTGTGAACATGACAAGTTCTCTTATTGGAACAAGCTGCAACATTTTGCAAGAAAATACGAACAATTTTGTTCTGTATGGGTTACTGGGCACCAAGGACTGTTTACAATACAGTATAATAATTGTTTCATGTTATAGCATCTTATCATGTAATCAATATATGTCCAAACGCTTCACAGGATTTTACTGCAAAGTGTAGTGACTATATATTTGTAGGCCAATACAGCAGCCCATTAATGTCTCACAGTAATGTCTCACAAACAGCCATGAAGTGCTGACCAATTTTATTTTGGGGAATGTGTATTTGTAGGCAAATGAAGATCACAATAAAAGTTTGGATGAGGAAAGCCATTTGGCGATTTTGATCTCATCCTTCCAGAACACCCACAATACCACCCTCCCATTACGGCAACAAGTTTTTTTTTCAAATGAATCCAGTGTCCTTTTAAAGTGGAAATTTCTGCATTGTCAGACATCCGGAAAGTGATAAAAAAAATCTGCGTTAATTGAGGGGAAAGGACACTGTCCAATAATGAGTGGTAGTCGAGATGAAAAACTTTAAATATATATATATATATTTTTGACGCATATTACTGTGAAATCCCACGATTGGAATCCTGCCCTGTGGAGTCCTGACTCCAGCTGCTTCTCCCACTCAAACAATTATTAATAAATAAACAAATAAACAAATAAACAAATAAACAAATAAACAAATAAACAAATAAACAAATAAACAAATAAACAAATAAACAAATAAACAAATAAACAAATCAATCAATCTTGCTTTGGCTAAGGAATGATGATTTATCTATTTTATAAGCGCTTCTCAATGAACTTTCACTAGCAATGAGAGTTGAAGCCATCAAAACATAGTTTAATTGCATTTACACTTAAACAGACATTTGTATCACTCTTTTCCACCTAATCATTTATTAGTGAAAATGAGATCATTTCATATTCACTGCAAGACTAGCTCAATTAATCTGCTAAAGCACGATGTCATATTTCAATCAAAACTCCAACCATGCTGTGAGCTTTATACTCAATCCCAGTACCCACGAATTGGAATTAATAAATTTGCTATTGATTAAATTCCTCTCCAGCAAACCTAGCATGGAAAATAAATTAACTACTCAGGATACATGTAAACTGTGGCCAGGTATGTCAGGACAACCGATAATAATAATAATAAAGACAATTCAAAGCACTTCACAGGAATTACTGCAAAGTGTGGTGACTGTATATTTGTAAGGTGAATGTGGCAGCCAATTTGTGCACAGCAATGTGCCATAAACAGCCGTGAACTGAATGAGCAATTTTATCTGGAGGATAGGTCAGGAGACCGGGAGAATCTCCTGTGTCTTCTCGACATCTTGCCTCTTCTAATTCTTTGCTCATGAGACTTGTGATGTACCCATCGATCGATAAAGCTGTAAATCTGAAACTCAATTAAAATCCACGCCCACCACTGGAAAACAAGGGTATAGAGGCTCGAAAGATGGTCTAAAGTGGAGCAAGGTCGTGATTGGGACACAGAAGTACAGTAACATGATTGGTTTAGCTCTTGTGCATGTTGTAAACAGCACATTGAAATTCCAACTCTCCACAAGTTCTGATCAAACCTCTACTGGGAAGTTATACTGAATTACAGTTGGCATCTGGAAGAAGCTGTGAGAGGAATGACACTCCACAGTGCTGCGCTGGGAGTCCTGGACAATTGAAATATCCATGTTGTCCCTGACAAACTTGAAGTACCTTCTTCCCAATCTAATAGGATGGCTCAGGAAACACCGTGAACTAATCTTAGAAGAACCGGGAAAGGTGCGGAGAATGAAGTATGAGGGGCACATGTAAGAGGGCACAGAACTCCCTTTAAAGTGTAAATCAAAGTGACTGGATTTAACAGATTAGAGCCAACTGAATAAGGCACATGTTTCAGCACTGTGAATCAATTCCGAGTATAATTCCAAAAGTCAAAACAGAAGCTACACAGAATGAATCCCAAATAGAGTAATTGTGGAAGGTCTCTACCTACTGACCCCGCTAACTTCTCAGATTCAGGAAATCTGAGAGACGTCCATGGGATTGTTCTTAATAAAACTGCTGTGCGCAATTGGCTGCTGCGTTTCACTAATAAAATATACAGTTAATTCACTTTACAGTATATTTTGTAAAGCACCTTGAGACGTCTTGAAGACATGATAAGGCACTATGTCTATTGCAAGGATTATTATTATTATTAAAACACATAGGTACAACAAATTGCTTATTTTGTATTATCCCCAAATAATACACTAATATTCATTAATTACCGAAGAATACAAGCACTGAATATATATCCAATATAAATTGTGGCATATTTACAATAACAGGAAGGGAGGTATTGGAAAACAATTATAATGTGAACAGCGACTTTCAAAATCATAAATGCTCATTTGCTGTGTGGAATGTAGCATTGGATCAATTGTTTTCTGGTCTCATCGTCAGTGAAAAAAAATAATAGAACAAACTACCGTAAAATAAAGTTAATGTCATGAACATTTCAGGCAAGCTGTGGTAATGATTAAAAAATATTCAAAGGGTCTAGGAAACATTAACAGAATCTTGTCAAATTATAGAGCAGATATGCTGTAGACCTCAAGATGCAAAGAAAATAGCTGGGGCCATATTCTTAAAACTCAACATGTTTTTTTTTAAATGCTTCTTCAGGTTTTGGGGCTATTTTCCACATAGTGGCATTATGGTCAAATCATACTTTTAGCTCAAGAGGTCTTTATTCCAAATTGTAGGCAACCACATGTCTTTGACAGGTGATTTATTTTTTTAAAATGCATTTCTGCAGGATCCTAAATAAGGATGGTAGAAAGAAAGATTATATAATATTTGCCAATTTCTGGATGCATTCCTCCATTAGTTGAGCTGGTTGTGTAATTTGAGCCTTTATTGTATGATTGATTCACGTGAAGACTTCATGAAAGCATCTCCTTGCCTGCAAGCAGGCAGTGGCGACTGGCTCTTAGTGCTAACAGTTAAGAGAGTTCAAACACTGTATCACTGCTTTGAACAGTAAACAGCTTTGTTCAAGGCATTTATCATTTTAAAGAGCATGATGCAAGTGACTACAAATTATATTTTATTCTTTTTAACGTATTGCCTCATTTCAAAACTGCATTGCATAAGGTTTTTAAAGTTATTTATTTTATATATTTAGTGTAAAAAAATTCAACTGTGTAGATCATGGACTGATGCTGCAGAATGCTCACAGAGAGTGGTAGGACCCAAGTCTGCTATGCCCCGTCCACTTGGCTGTGCAGCCTCGTTTTCCTAAATTGAATAAAACCAGGTGATCATGCTTAGAACAGAACAGATTTGGACTATGCAATCAAAGGCCTGAGATTTTTTTTAATAAAAATATTGGCTATGATTAATATCTGATCATTGGTGAAATAATTATGCTCAGGATGTAAAATAGATTCTTACCTTGAACTGATGACATGTATATGTGGTGCTGCAATATCACCTGGTTCATCTTCGACAGTAGTGATTTGGGTGATATTGCTTTTCACACAGACATACACTGTGCAGACCTCAACCTTCAATGGACAGATAAGTTCATTAAAATAGAAATTTGCATTGATTGTGCAAAAGCTGTCAAATATAATTTTAATGTTTTCTGAATTAATAGTCATATATATAGATAGATACATGCTTGTGGGAACTGGCCCGTCCCTAATATTAATGGAAATATATATTCTTAGTTTCCGAAGCAAGCTAAAAATATGGTAATTATGCATTTCCAACTGCTCACTCTAACAGGACCAGAAAAGAACATTGCAGTCACTGCAATGGTCTTTTCTGGGCCTCTTAAGAGTGAGCAGTTGGAAATGCATAATTTTTTTTGAGGGGGGAAAAAAAGGGCTTTATTTTCCCCCCTCAAACCATAAAAAAAGTTAAAATAAATATTTAGTTCTCCATCCTCGACTCAAAAAACAAGCAGGGAAAAACTAATGATCTTTAAATTAATTAATTAAACATTTAAAAACAGGGCGTAACATGGGCATTTAAATCAACTAGGAATTTATCTGGATTTGTCAGAGGCTGGGCAACTGCACCCAATGTTCACATGCATGAAGCTTAGCTTTGCGATCGCTTTCCGGCTTGCAGATTACCATGTTCAACCCGACTGCCTGTTAGCAGAGGATTTTATTTTTGTGCAGCTAAAAACCCACAGTCAAGGTAACCATCAGAGCTTTAATTCTTTCAGCGTTGTTTGGATTTTGTCCCTGTGTTCTCCCACCACCACTGCTTCCCGCTGCATCACTTCCATCTTCACCCAGAAACCCGACAGACGCCACAAATGTCATCCTGCAAATGGCTAATGGGAAGTGTGATTTCACTGAGCAGGAAACGGCTCAGTCGTACTTTTCTTCCTCTGAAGATAAAACACTTTGCCAATGTGCAGACTCCCCTCCAGTATTCTGTCAGGGAACTGACAAAACAACAAGGGTGGGTGAGTTCTGATATCAGTTGAGCCGGGGGCATCAAGTTCACAACACTCATGGTTATGCCATGTTTGTGCTGCTGGAAGTGAAGTGCTTATGTTTTCAGCAGAAAAGTGTTTGGGAAGCGGTAACCTAAATTATGCTTCTCATTCGTAATTGCATTGGCCAGAGGCCGAGGAGAGCAACGAACACGTGCAACTAATCCACAGATGCTCTGCTAACTATTATTAATAAAGAGCTGCTCACATGACCAGCTCCTCAATAATATAACAAATCAACCCTTAAACGTTCTTGGTGGACTGCTTGGGAACATACAAGATGGAACATCACTGCCAGAATTTGTACTGCCGCATTACAAAGTCAAAGAGTGTCGCTCAGGCCAACTTCATCAAATAGCCTTGGCAACCGGCCACTGGTGCGATACGCTCTATAACATGTAATATTAATAACCTCTTGTATTTTGACACAGCGCCTTTCATGTCAGGAGGGCATCTCAAAGCCCTTCACTGGGATTTACTGTGAATGGTAGTGAAATTTGGATTGTGTGGCTCAAGTCTGAATTGTGCTGGGTCACAATTCCCACAAATGAGCAGTGTAAAATAAGCATAATTCTCCAATGCTGGTAACCGGAGGCCTGAGATTCCACCTTGTAAGTCCACTTTACATTTTAACATTTGAGGTAAAATCATTAAATTCGGTCTGAACTCCAAAACTGGTTCTTGTTAAGTGCTGTGGGGGAAAAATGCTCCCAAAGTTTCAATCTGTGGACAAAAAGGTCTTATAGGATAAGATGAGGTGGAATTTTGAGGTCTCTGGTTTTTCACACCATTCTCTAACGTGGGATATAAAGAAACACCAGTGCGTACACAGAAAGCAAGTAACATGATAGGAACAGATTACACTTTTGCCTAACCTGTATTTCATACACAGTGAACGGTGACAAGTCTGTCAATATAAAAGAGCCAGGCAAATTCATGGCAGTCTGATGCCGCTTGTTATTCACATAAATAGAATATTCCGTGACAAGCCCATTTGGGTTTGACGGTGATGTCCAGATGACACGAACAGCTGTACTATTGATCACGATGACCTCTGGAGGTAGCATGCCCTCAGGCTCTATGAAGGGAGAGAGAATAAAAGCAGGCTAAATTCCAGCTGTCACAGAAACTAGTTGGTTAACAAAACATGTATGAGCATTTAAGTTTTGAAGCAAAAAGGAAAACGTTCAATGAGTATCTGGTCAGCTTATTGAAATAAAAACGCAATCATGCAAGAAAAGAATTTATACAGACAAAAAAAGGGGAAACTTTAAATAAAGAAGGCAACGTTAATTGAACAAGATACTAGGGCTATCGAGCAAATACGAATCAGACAAATTATATGGTTATTTGCTATCGGAGTTTTAAGATTTTCGTTTAGGGAACTGAAACATAACCAAATAAAGGAGTTTTTTTTATTTCTGCAGAAGATCAGGCATTATTGACATATCTGATTTGCTGTGGAATTTTGAGGAAGATCTTTCTTTTCTATTATGTTGATAACCACTGCCGAATTCTATCACTCCTGTTAGTTTTGGCTGTTCATGCTTCGCATTGCCACTGCCACAGCCTATTGAGTAGCAAAACATGGCATTATGCCTCGCTTGATGAATATATAAATCTTCATTTACATTCCCGTCCAGCATGCTTCCGCACTGCAGCCACCAGTGACTGCCACCTCCGAAGCAGGAGTTCCAGGGACGAAACACCACACTCAAGCTGTGTTTAAAGGGACCATTCCTTCTTCTTCCTCCTCGCGCATAATAAAATAATAATAATAATCCTTGAATTTGATATGGAGCCTTTCACGTCAGGAAGACGTCTCAAAATGCTTCACTGTAAAATACTGTAAAGTGTAGTGATTGTATATTTTGTGAGAAGAATCAGGCAGACGATTTGCACACAACAATGACCCCACCAACAACCATGAAGTGAATTCATGACCATTTAATGCCCAGGAGAAACCCCTTTTCCTTTTGAATAGTGCAATGGGATCTTCAACGTCCACCTGAACAGACACAGGTGGGACCTTGGTTTAACGTCTCATCCAAAGGATGGCATCTCCAACAATGCAATGCTCTTCCAACATTGTACTGAGTGCCGGCATAGACTATATGAGTTCAGTCCTGATCCACAAATATCACATGGGACCTGGTCATGTTGTGTTGCTCAGCATCTCCACAATGTGGAGATATTCCCTTCAGCACAGTGACTGCTCATGCTGCTAGCCTGAGATCCCTGTGATCACAACAACGTAATAGAATTCCTGATCGTTGTCCCACCAAATCAATGTGGATTTCTCTGTGCCTTGTCCCCACACCAGCAATGTTGCATGGAAATCCTGCTTAACAAGCAACAGGGAGAGAAGAGAAAACCTTTTATTTTCTTGTAACAGCACCAGAAAAAAAACTGAGACGTGTTGGGTTGCAATGTTTATTTGTTTGTCAACTGGAATGAGGGATAAAGCTCTGTGGGCAGCACTGTATGTGCAAAGATTTCAACATGTCATTCAGTGTCAAAGGAAGTTTACAACGCAGGAGGAGGCAATGTCTATGGTGGATGCAAGCTCTCCCCATCTGCTCTGATCCCATTCTCCTGATCTTTCCTCATTTCCAATAATATTATTTCCACTGAAGTATTGATCTAATCCCTTATGCATGCTCTTATGCTCTCAATAATAATTTGTTCACTCAATCCACGACTGTTTGTGGGACACTGCTCTGTGCAATTAGCTGCCATGATTCACTCACAAAATACACAGTCAATTCACTTCACAATATATTCTGCGAATCGCTTTGAGACATCTCAACGAGGTGATAAGATGCTATATCAAATGCAAAGATTATTATTATAACTATTTGTGGTAAAGCATTTCACACACTTTTTAATCTTACCCTATTTTATTCTGATGATCACCCTCAATGTTACACGTTAGAGCCTCTCATTACTGATTTGGATCAGCGAAGATAATCTTTCTTTTTTAACCTATCTAAACTAGTTATACTTTTTTAAATTCTCCATTAAGTTCACCCTAATGTTTACTGGTGTGGCAAAATCAGTTTCCTTTTTTCCGACTCCTTCCACATGACTGTACCCTCTTATGCCTGCTATTATTGTTGTGAATCTCTATTGTGTCCTCTCCATCATTGTGTCCTGTTCATCTCTGGGCCTATATCCTCTCTACGACTGTGCCCTGGGTTTAACGCCTCACCCGAAGATATTCGTGAAAGTTATAAAGAAAACTCTAACGTTGAAAATTTGAAATAAATGCTGAAAATGCCAGGAATGCACAGTGGGCTGATCAGCATCTGACCGAAGTCAATATACTTATGTTTTGGTTTGACCTTTCAACTAGTCTCCATTTAGCGCCGCCGCAGTCTGTTTAGACTTGTCCCATTCTTCACTAATATATTCATGGCCTGATCTTATACTTTTAGAATTGGTGCAATACCAAATTTTGGCCCAGTTACTGGCACAAATTAGATTTTTATGCTAAGATAAAACTACAATTTCAGAGGGTTTTTTTTTGCTTCCAGGCACTTGTGATGTGTTGGCAATGAAAGCAGCAAATTATCAAATCAACGCAAAAAGCAGGTCTCTGCCAACTTTATGAAAACACACACAAAAAAAGTGGAACAAACCAAGTCCTTTGTCAAGTTCAATGAATATGTTTTTTCAAGAGACACCAATTTCTGAAGCGACAAAGACTCCAACAATTACAGGCAACAACCCACAAAACACACAGACACTCCACTTTACAAATATATACTGTGAGGCACTTTGAGACGTCCTCCCAATGTGAAAGGTCCTATATAAGTGCTACATAAGAGTGTTAATTTTAAACAAAATACTTAATAATAAGCAGAGGGGTAGACTATTGGCATTTCTTTTTCCCCAATAGGTCTCAGTCACTCCTAGTCACAGAATGAGAGCTTTGACCAGAACTAGTAGCCGAAGCTATTGGGGCATGTGCACTCCCCACCATCCCAAACCACTTGTGTGGAGATTAGACCATTCTGCGTCATGTCAAAATTAAAAACAGAGTTTAATCTCAGTGGAACAGTTCTTGAAATTATGCAAATAAAATTGTCTTCTTTGTTTCCTCATAAAAACTGTAAAACATGATAATCCCTGAATAATAGACTGAATGGTTTCTGAAACCACAGATGTCTGTGCCTTTTCACAATCTTTGATAGTTAGAAAAGTAAAACATTTGTGTGAATAAAGATGTGGGCACAGAAAGTTACAAGAGATGGGAATTAACAACCAAGTATAAATGACTAATTCTGTGTATGGAATAGAGCTGGGATTTAGAGTGGCACAGTGGCAATCTGTGCTAGAGACTCAACAGGTATCAGCCTGGCTCAGTTGGTAGCACTCTTGCCTCTGAGATAGAAGGTTGTGGGTTCAAGCACCACATCGGGATGTTGAACTCACAATCTAGGCTGACACTGCAATTTAGTACTGGGGGAACCCTGCATTGTTGGAGGTTCCATTTTCCAGATGAGATATTAAACTGAGGTGCCATCTGCCTGTGAAAAATCACAAAGCACTTCTTGAAAAAAAAGGAGAAGGGAGTATCCTCTGAACTCCTAGCTGCCAAACAACCCAATCAGATTGATCATTCACTTCTTAACTGTTTGTGCAACATTGCTGTGCATAAACTGGCTGTTGTGCTTACTGACAAATACATAGTCACTGAACTGTACAAAATCTCAGTGAAGTTCTTTGAGATGTTTCGATTACGTGATAAGGTAATACAACAAATGCAAAAATTATTATTATAAAAAGTGGTTCTGCGCAGTGCATCATAACTGTGCATTGTCTGAGCAACCACCACTCACCATCCCCTACCCACCCACCCCACTGATCTCAGATTGACTGCACAGGGCTAAGTGCCAAGCACAATCCAGACATCTCTGCACATTGGGGTCAAAACGCCCTGCACTGTATAGCAAATGTGAATATAGGTTGGTCACTCCAGGACTACCAGTGTTCTGAGCAAATGCCTATCCGACATCACTGCCTCACCCCTCAGGCTTAGGCTACTAGTTCTGGTAAAAGCTGTCATTCTGTGACTAAGAGTGACTGAGACCTGTTGGGGAAAAAGAAATGCCAATAGTCTACAACCTCTGCTTATTATTAAGTATTTTGTTTAAAATCAACACTCATATATAGCACTTATATAGGACCTTTCACGTCCGGAGGTCGTCTCAAAGTGCCTCACAGTATATATTGTAAAGTGGAGTGTCTGTGTATGGAAACTTTTTCCAACTAAATGTCAGCAAGTCCGATGCCCTCCTGATTGGCTCGCGCCAGTGCCTCCGCACCTCGAGGGCTGGCAGCATCAACATCCACGGCTGCACACTCAACCTCACTAAGGCAGTCAGGAACCTGGGTGTCTTGTTTGATGCTGAACCGTCCTTTCTCCCCCACATCCGCGCCATGAACGGCACTGCCTACCACCACCTTCCAACATTGCCAGACTCCACCACTGCCTCACCCCTCAGGCTGCTGAAACCCTCACCCACGCATTCGTCATATCAAGGCTCGATTATTGGAAACTCCCTCCTCATCGGCCTTCCCAACTCTTCCCTTCACAAGCTGCAGATCATCCAAAACTCTGCAGCTCGTGTACTCTTCACGCACCAGGCTCTGTGACCCCATCACTCCCACCCTCGTCTGACTCGACTCCCCATCCCCCAAAGGATCAAGTTCAAGATCCTCATCCTCAATTCCAAGGCCATCCATGGCCTTGCCCCCTCCAACCTCTCTGACCTGCTGACTCCCTACCAACCTGCCCATTCCCTCCATTCATCAGCCTCCGGCCTGCTCCAGGTCTCCCGCCTGACCCGCCCTACCATCGGTGGCCGAGCTTTCAACCTCTCTGCCCCCACACTCTGGAACTCCATCCCACGGTCCCTTCGCCTCACTTCCTCTTTTGCATCCTTGAAGTCCAGTTTCAAGACCCTCCTCTTCGATCGTTCCTTCAGTCGCCCTCCCACCTCTCTGCCTTCCCTCACCCTACCCAACCCCTCCCCCATGCTCGGGTCCTGACCCCTGACTGTCCAGCACCTTGGGACGTCCACCTGACGTGAAAGGCGCTCTATAAATGTCAATTTGTTGTTGTTGTTGTCACGTAATTTGGGAAATGTCTTAAGATGGTGATGTTTAAATTGACATGCCAATTTCCTGTGGGACATTTGTGAGTGTTCTGTGGGGTTTTGTCTTTGCCATCAATGTGGAGTCCTGTAGCTCAGTGGTTAGAGCGCTTGCTTTGCAAACGAGAGACCTGAGTTCGATTCCCAGCAGGGTGAAACCTTGGGCAAGTTTCCTTACTCCACACGCCTGATAATAATCCCTCAATAAAATAAAACAATAATAAATTGGTCATTTCAATCCATGACTGTTTGTGGGACACTACTGTGCGCAATTGGCTGCCACATTTCGCCCACAAATATACGGCTAATTCACTTTACAGTCTATTCTGTGAAGCGCTTTGAGACGTCTAGAAGACGTGAAAAGCGCTATATCAAATGCAAGGATTATTATTATCTAATAGAAATAGCTTCAAATGTCTACCTCTCTCCCCTTTTCTATCCACTACCACCTCAGAAAGACATTGCGTCACACTGGAGGGCAACTCTCTAGTTCTGGTACTGACACTGCAATGCAGTGCTGAGGGTGTTGTGTATTGTGGGAGGTGCCGTCTGTCAGTTAAGATGCTAAACAGAGTCCTGTCTGCCTGTTCAGGTGGATATTAAAGATCCCATGACAATATTAGAAATGAGAAGGGAGTTTCTCCCGGTATCCTAGTCTACATTTCCCCCTCCCCCAACTGATCACTCACTTCATGTTTTTTGTGGGACATTGCCGTGCATAAGTAATCTGTCACATTTGCCTAAAAATACAGTCACTGAACTTCACAGTAAAATCCTGTGAAGCACTTTGAGACATCTCAATGATGATAAGGTACTGAATCACATGCAAGGAATATTATAGTGGGCGTTTATGTGTGTGTGTGTTTGCGCACATTGAAATTTAACCTGAAGAGTTTTATGCATACATAGAACACACAAGCACAGACTTAGTCAAACAGACAAATGTGGAGGAGAGAGAGAGAAAAAATACTCAAGATGGGAGGAGGAAAAATCAAGAGGGGGGCAAACGAGCAAGGGGAAAAAAGGACGGGAGGGGGGAAAAAAACAGAAAGGTGCAAGCGAGAGCAAAGAGTAAGAGAGGAAGAAGATGGAAAGGAGAAGGAGAAGAAGAATAATAGAAAGAAAATCAGAATGGGAGAAATAAAATGAAAGCCAGATAAATGAGAGTGAAATAAAGTAGAAGAGAAAAAATGAAAAGAAAGATAACTAAAAGAGAGGAGTTTTTGTGGTCCTGAGAGGAAGTGAGACATTGCCATGGTCTTACTAGTCCGAAAGTGTTGCCTGACTTTCAAAGCAGTGCTGCACTTTTTAGCCATCGTTGCAAGGACAAACAATGCACCACATTGCTCTTCCATGTTTACCAAGCTAGGGTTTAAGTCCTCACGAATATTTATTTTATGTGGAAAGGTTGAGGGCAGGATCGATTACAAACAGATGGCCCAAGCACGGCAATTATGACAAGAACATTGGTAAAACTTTTCCAAATCATGGTTTGTAACAGATAGAATAAAACGCCAAACCCACACCCACATCCATCCCTCAACTGTGCCTGAGCTGAAAGTTTGGTGAATAAAAGCTTTGGTTTTGCTTTTGAACATTTGCATTGAACTATAATATGCAATTGTAACACATTATTTGGTGCAAACATATTTGGTGCCTGTTAAAAGTATAAACCAAGCTCAGATTTTTCCTGGAACTCCCCACCTACAGGCACATGACCTCACACCAATTATAGCAGAAACACACTTTAAACATGAGGATTAATGCTATTAGCATCCTGGCAGATGCTGTCTGCAAGGGCTTGTAGGTGTGCAGGAAAGAAGGTTAGAGTTCAGAGAGGGAAATGAAATAAATGTGACAAAGACTTAAGTGTTAAACATTACTGGATGTACTGGATATATAAAACACTGCACAGATTTAATACTGTGTCTGGACGTGAGCCACAACTCATCCGATACTCTAAGTGGATAATATTTGACATTTTTGATATAAAATACCTGCGTTAGGTTTGAGCAAGAGTTGGTCAGTAAGGCATGTGGCACCAGATGGGATGTCAGCTGTCACTCAAGGACATGCATCAAAGCAAGCAAGGCATGAGAACATGATGAATCGGGAAAGAAGGGATTTCTGCAAGTAGAGGGGATTTGTACAAGAAGATACAACAGTATCCATCAACCAGCATTAGCTCTTCCTTCCTCTTCTATTGCTCTTTAGCTCCCAAATAGAATTACATGAAACAAAATTGACATCACCATTTCTTAATCTGCAGAGAACGCAAATGCAGGTCTAAGATTTAACAATAATAATAATCTTTGCATTTGATGTAGTGCCTTATCACATCTTCGAGACGTCTCAAAGTGCTTCAGAATATACTGTAAAGTGAATTGACTGTATCATTTGTGGGCAAAATATGGCAGCCAATTGCGCACAGCAGTGTCCCACAAACAGTTGTGGATTGATTGATTGACTAGGTCAGGTCTCGAAAAGAGGCATTAACAGCAGAAATAGCTACAGGTATACAAGATAATTTGACTGGATAGAAAAAAAGCACCGAAAAATACTTAATTTAAGAATATTATTAAAATATTAAGTAATAGTATTAATTAAATATTAAGTAATAGTATTAATAATACTAAAATAGTTCAAGAAAGTACAGGTTGTGAGAATTAAGTTTAGGACAGATATCAAGTATTTTTTCACATGGAGGGTAATGGAACAACTGCAACTGTTCTCAAGAAAGTTGGTTATTCAAGAAGCAGCTTGATGCTGTAATGGGGAAGACAGTAGGATTGTTAATATGGAAGGATGAGATCAAACGGGCCAAAGAACCAATTCTGTATCAATATTGATATGCATCTGTACAGTCTGCTTCACCTAAGTGTATAACTTGTTTAACTACTGTATATTTTAAGCACATTCCCCTCCCACCTATTTCTCTGGAAGCTTGTTCTATCAAGTGTTTAACAGTAATTTTCTTTTAAGTGCAGTTTTGCAGTCTATACACAAATTGCACATTTAAACAGCAGATTAATGATCTCCATTTGCATCTCTGCAAACGCTAATCTGTTAATTGCTCATCTACATGGGTCAGTTAACATCGCATTATTCACATACAATGAGATTCCAGCCAACATATATGTCATTCTTCTAAATTCTTTAAACTGTTCCAAATGTCCAATTAATGTACCATTAAACAGCACTTTTCTAAATAAATGACTTTCTTTAATGGAGCATTTTGCCTTGTTGTTGGGAGACCCTCAGAAACCCCCACCTCCCTCCAAACACTAATTAGCATTAAAAAAAGTCCTGAAATGACTTTGCTTCTTCTAACTTCATCCATTCAAATGATTTAATTTTTAAGATCTGCCCACTGTATCACCTTCACCAATGGGATGTTTGCACAAGTGATATTTTTGGGGGAGGGGAAAAGAAATGAAGTTGTATAGTTTGCGCCACTTTAAAAGGAAAATGTTAAGCAGTAACGAGTAGGATTTTATCTGTTAATACCTCAACATGTACAATATAACTGGATGAGGCGTTAGTTGACAAATCCTATTCAATGCTATGCACCTGTTCTTCTTTGAAATATCAATACTTCTTACATTTGTTATAGCGCCTCATTACATCATGGAGACATTTCAAAGCATTTCACAGGATTTACTATAAAATGCAGTGGCTGTATATTTATTGGCAAATGTGGTAGCCATTTGCACACAGTCATGGAGTGAATGACCAGTTTTATTTGGGGGATTGATGGTCAACACATTTTTTGAATATCGACATGGAACCTTTAAGATCTACCTGAACAGGCAGACAGGACCTTGATTTAACTTTTCATCCAAAGACAGCATCTTTGATAATATAGTGCTCTCCCAGCATTGCACAAGGGTCATAGCCTACACCGTGAGCTCAAAGTCCCATTCAAGTATCAGCGGAAAAAAACAAGTAGACAGTCGAGAGAGTGTTGTAGCTTTTAATTAGGAATTGGTTCTGAACCAGATTGATTTGCTTTATCAATAACTTCATTCAGTGGAATGACTGGCCAGAATTCCTTCAGGTATTGGGAATTGAATAAAACTCCGATAAAATTGTGTGCATTTTAGATCTTCAAACCAGCTAACATGCAAAACAGAAGTTTGTCTCTAACTCTTCAAACAAGATCTTGCCACATTTCCCAACAAGAAGAACAACTTGCATTTATATAGCACCCTTCACGCAGGGCAGTGTCTTGGTGTGCTTGACAATCCTGTAGGTTGAAAGGAGGCAGTGGTTTAAAAGCCAGGTGATTCCCAGTTCAACTGTGGAAAATATAAACAGAGAACTTCACCCTACTTAATTTCCCGTGGTTTCAGGTTAATAAAAACATGTCTGGTTCAAGCGGAAATTTGCCTGAAGTTCTCGTTTCGGAAAAGGTACCGACAAGTACAAAATCTCAAGGGGACGTTTTTTTTTATCGATAGCTGAATGTGTACATCAAATCTCCTGGCACATCAAGTTTGGCTCTGCGTTCAGCTGTCACCCTAAAAGCACACTGCTCCGGAGAACAAATCACTTAGAAATATTAATCGCTTTTATATTCTCCCATTTATTGACAGAGCATGCTGTATTTTGAAATTCAAAACAACAATGTGGAGATATGCTGGTGCACATGGGGAGATCTGAACAAACTGTGCTAATATACTCTATTAGAGCTATCTGCAACTGTCTCACTGGGACCCCGTATTGATCTATTATTTGATGACAACTGCACTTAAGCATTTTAGCTATTTTCCTTCAATAATAGGAAATTTTATTATGGATGGATGACTGATTTCAACCTCCAAAAAATCAATTGCGTTCATTCTCAGATTTTAAATTGTTCCGAGCATCTGTGATTTTTACTAACCCCCATCAGACGTGGTCACATGGACTGTCTCGCTCCTTACACTGTGGGCACTGTTGAAAACCTCAATGGAAAGTTGATATTCTGTGTTTGGGCGCAAATTGCCAAGCAGAGTGTAGTTTACATCAGCTGGGAAGAATGTGGAGTTGCTAAAGGTGGTGGAGTTGATGTGTAGGATATAGCATTCCACATCGCCCTGCAAGTCTTCCAAAGCTTTGGTTTTAAAACAAGAGAAAAACAAATGGTTACACTAATGAGACTGGCTTGGCTTCTGTCAGTTATTAACATTTATTGCAACTAGACCATAACTGAGATATGTGTTTCGCCCACAAAATACATAGTCAATTCACTTTACAGTTTATTCTATGAAGCGCTTTAAGACGTCTCATTATATTTAATTCATCCAGCTATCGTTCCTAGTATGGAATTCATGCAGTGCTTTAAATTTCATCTTATCAGACCTACGTTTGCCTACAAATGCACAGTCACTTCTAGTCAGTTGTTTAAGCACTTTAAAAGATTTCTCCCAATATGAATGGTGTTATAAAATAATCCATACAATTCTTTCACATCAGGAAGCGATCTCAGTGCGCTTCACAGGATGCACTGTAAAACGTAATGACTGTGTATTCTACATGTGAACACGGTAGCCAATTTGTGCACAGCAAACAGCCAGGAAGTGAATGACCAATTTTATGTAAAGGATTGCTGGCCAAGACACTGAGAGAAAATTGCTTTTCTTCTCAACTAGTGCAATGGGATCTTTAACATCCCTCTGAACTGGCGACATAAATCTGAATTGTTGTTATATATATATGAAAATATAATCATGGGATTTTTCAAGCCACAATAAGCATTGGTACAAACAATTAAGACATTGGGCACTTGAGAGAAAAGAAACATATTCCAAATTTAGTGGAAGGAACAAAATAGAGTTTAATGAGACCAAAGAACAAAGAGCCAAACAGGGTTCCTTATAGTCATCAACAAGGTGCTGAAAATCTTCAGTAACCACAAAATGCAAACTTGCAGCTCATGTAAATCTCTGCATATATTATATGCATAGTTTTCCCACAGAGCTCCACAAGTTGTGTAAGAGATGTATGAAGCAGACTGTTGCTGGTAGTTATTCACCCCTAATATTTCACCACAATGGTATGTTGTCTTACAAATACAGTCACTACACTTTACAGCAAAGATTCAATGGTACCAGTTCACATGATCAACTGTTATCAAATGTAATGTAGTGGTGCTTTATTACTATTTGTACAAGATTGATGATGAGATAATTGCATAATTCCATGAATAATCCTTACATTTATGTTCAGTTTCCACCAATGTCACATTAGATTAATAATAATCCTTGCATTTGATATAGCATCTTATCATGTCTTTGATATGTCTCAAAGCGCTCCACAGAATATACTATACAGTGAATTGACTGTATATTTTGTGGAATAAAGAGTGGAGATTAGCTAGCGCTTGAGTTTCAAACAAAAACCCTACAGTTTACAGCAAAGAATCACAACACCAGTTCACACTGTTATCAAATGTAATGCAGAGGTGAATGGTACGTACTTGGTCTGCTCCACTCGGCTTCTACCGTTGTGTGGTTTACAGCCTCTGCTGTGAGGTTGCTTCCTCTGACAGGGACACCTGCCAGTGTGGTGGCTGTAACTTCTTCTCCTGCTGTGTAGCCTGCATCATTAGACACTACCAGCTTGTATTTATACATTGTATACCTGAATGAATGAACAACAGACACATTGATTGACAGCTTAGTGCCTTCTTAACACTTTTACAAGAGTGCTGATGAGATAATTGCATCCACCCATGAATAATATCTACATTTATGTTCAGGTTCCACCTCTGCCACATTAGACTAAGGAGCCATACATTAGCTCGCGCCCGAGTTTAAAAAAATGCAAAATTGTTGAAAGTACATAACATTTGCATTAAACGTGCATATCTGAGACTGACATTCTGAGAAAGGTGAAATATCATAAGGTAGAAATAATAGGCCTTCAAAGGAATTTCATTTAATAAGTGTACCTAATTGGTGTTAAATTAGTTCCCCCACATTGTTGAGCTGAGCATCTCATTCCAAAAGACTCCAACTAGGGACAGTGTCCAACGATCAATATTAATATCAACCTGCCACTCCATAGCCCACGGTCCAAATATTTTTGAATGCTATTTTATCTCTTTATATTTGTCACCTGATTGGTATCGTCAGCAAATTGCCCAGCATCAAATTGTATACAGAACCATAGAAATTTATAGCACAGAAGAAGACCACTTGACCTAGCATGTCTGTGCTGATTCTTTTAACAAATGTTTCAAAGCCTTTTCCCCATACCCCTGCACTTTACTCCTTTTCAGATATCTATTGAGTTCCCTTTTGAAAGCTAACATAGATTCTGTTTCAACCTGAATTACAATTTAGACCCCCAAGTAGATGTGTGCCTGTCTTGAAAATACAAGCTCACTTCACTGTGTACTTTCTAGCGATGATTAACTTCCGCACTCTCCTGCACGTTAATAATCAGCCACCTTGTAAAGTGAGAATGGATCGCAGATGGTCACACAAGTAATGGAAAAGCCATTTGTAATGATTCACTTCATTAACAATATGGAAGGTGGACTTCAGTTCCAAGAAAAGTTGGAATTGGACAGACAGGGAATGTTTGGTGGTATGAACTCAGTTAGATCTCAACTGTTAGAAGTGGAAGAGAAGCAGTCTTGCCAGCACTCAGCAATTGATGACATTCCAGCTCATCTTCTGCTCAATGCAGTTAACAACATTCTCCAGCAACAGGAATAGTACAGTAAAAAAGGAACCAAGATTTTTTTTGTTACAGATTTAGTTTCTTCAAGAATATTTGGACCAGTTGTACAGCAGTTTACAATTTTTGAAGAATCTTTCTGTTGCTAACCATGCACCTTGTTCAAGAAAACATGCTCCATTAACTTGATTTAAAACTATGAATGAAAATAGAGGATCATTTTAGACACCCCAGCTTCCTCATAAAATAAAATTAATTTAAATAAGTAATATTCAACGAAGGTTGTCTGATAAAGCAAGCATTCAGCCAGTGTCTTGTTAACAGATCCATAAAACATGAGTTTGATGCATTTAAATTGTACTTTAATGTGATGGTGTGGAACCTGGGGGGGAACTTAACGTATAGATTTAATGTTTGTTAGTTTTGAAATACAGCTGGATCACAAAGAAATGCTGTCTTTTTGAAACAATTGCCTCCAAATGCACAGTGCAGCTGATGGAATGGAAAATCATTACAAGGTGAGACAGCTTCCAAACAAACAGTAAATACAACTGTCAGTCAGTTTTATTTTAATTCTAATGCATTTTATACAAAAAAGCGTTTATTTTGAATATTATAAATACTGGAAAGTCGCAAACACCACACAATAAATTATTTGCAAATGAAATTGTAATTTGTTTGAAGCTGATGTAGTTTAATCTAACCTGTTAAGACCTTTATCTTCATAGTACATTTGTGTCCCTGAGTAAATATTCAACCAAAGATTTAAATCTTCAGGGGGATTTGGTGTGAGTGGTTGTTGGGATTTGTGCCTCAGCAACTCGTATCTGAAAAAAACACAGGTTGCACAGTATGATTATCAAACACAATGTCTGGTGACAAAATCACTGATAATTACCAGCCTAAAATCATTGCTTAACAAATTTTCCTCTCACTTATTTAAACACCGTTCATGATTTAAATAAAAATACGCTTCCCCCATATTCTGTGCAATATTTGACTGCTTCTACAATAGGTGTGCCTTTTTAAAATTATTATTATTTAATAACGATTTTATCAGATATTCATAGAAATTTAAAGCACAGAAAGTTATTCGGCCCATGCTGATGCCGGCTCCCCCACTTGAGCTAACGAGGCTAGTCCCAATTCCCTGCTTTCTTCCCATACCCTTTAACATTGTTTCCCTTCAAATGTTCATTCATTCAATTTCCTTTTAAATGTTGATACACTTTCAGCCTCACTAGCGACTTAAGACAAAGCATTCTGCGTTCTAACAACTCTGCTTCAAAGCATTTCTTCTAACTTCTCCCTAATTGTTCCAGTTACAATCCTCAACTGATCCTTTGAGATAAGTTACCAGTGGGAATAATTTTTCTCTCCAAACCTTTCAGTCACTATTAATCAATCCTGTTCCTGTGAAAACTGCACTAAATGTTTGAGCCTAGCCTCATAACTAAAATTCCTCAACTCTGCTAACATCCTAATGAATTTCTGCTGTCCAAGGATTATTATAATGATTATGCTTACACATGGTTAACACAACCTGCAAATTAAACCCCAGTGAAATTGGTTTTCCTCCATTAAAACATCAGATTCCAGCAGATATACGTTTGGATATTTGGATGCATGAAGGGATAATGCACGGCATATTGAAGCTACTATCATGAGCACTGTCTACCAGTCATTGAATGCAGCTTGTCTTTGGAAGCAGATATATATTCCTTCACCTCAAAATCCACGTGGTCATGAACTGTGCATCTGAAGACTGCATGAACGTAGCAGTAGAAGGTTGAAGTTGTTTAGTTTATATTGATGCTGCCATGTTTGTACAAAGGTGCACTCCATACTGAACTCACTCTGGTACAAAGTTAGCAGTGTAAATGTATCACACTCACATCAGCAGCATGATAACATACCCTGCTTTGTTTCTCACATACATCTGTAAACCCGATGGCAGTAAGACCACAGTGAAGAATTACACACGCTCTCTCTCTGCACTAATGCTCCCCCTCAGACATCTTCACAACAAGCAGCACACAGCATTGTTCGCGCTGTAATACTTTTGTGCTGCAATGTTATCTTTGGCAGTTTAAACGTATAACTTGAAACAATCTCTGAGCTGTCAGAGCACATCTGCCTTCTCACCTTTAAGTTAATTAAAGAATGTCCTCCACTCAAGCGTAAAATCTGCCGCATAATTTTGTTTATTGAGAGACCCAAGTGTAGGCCAACACCCATTGTGCAACACCACCACCAATTGTAAAGAGGAGCAGAGAGGACAAGATGATTCGAGATGTAATGGTTACGTGTGGGATTTTTTAAAAAACTTAATTTTAGCTAGATGGATAGAGGAGGATTCAGCTTGTCTCATATCTGTTACATTTATACCCCAGCAAAGCAATTCCTTAAATCCCCTCCTCAAGGTTATGTGAGGAGACTGGCTCCAATACAACTGACCACTGATTTATTCTGCATGTTTCATAATCAGGTCTAATTTGTGATATTTTCAAATAGGAATCGATGTGCTAATTGCAATTTCCGGTTGTGAACACTGAAGGTCATCTAATTTACAATATCGGCTTGTTTCGCTCTTCAGAATTACGCATGCACTTAACTTGTATGAAAATTAAAATTTAAGATCATGCAGAAGTTTGGAACATTATTAAATTGGAGCCTTAATTTGAAAAATGATTTTCTGCAGGTCTTTTACAACAAAGCATAACCTAGTCATGTGATAAATTAATCTGGATTATAGTGAGCCACATTAAAATAGGGTTATCCTGTTGATTAATTCTACATTTGCAACCGGAAGTTGCAATTAGTTGCAGAATTATTATGCCAGAAGCTGGCCCAAGGATTCACGCCACTATGTTGTAAATAGGTATACTTTATTAACAAACTAATTGGAGGATTCATTAATATTGTTTTCTGATGCATCAAAATGGATTAGAAGGACATTTCTATATGAGAAATATAGAATTGTCAGATTGTGAAAAATAGCATTAAACATATGTTTAGGTCTGTGGGCTCTTATAATATCCTGTTTTGGGAGCGGAGTCAGGAGAGCGTGGGGCGGAGCCGAGGCCTAGCAGCGGGTTTAAAGCCCAGCGAGGTGAGGAGGGGTCGCCGATTTACAAAAGTGACGTCGGCGTGACGTCATAATTAAACAATGTCCTGGCAGCCCCTGTCACTGCCATCCCAGCCACGACCACACAGCCTGAAGGCTGATGCCGTCCCGCTAATCGCTCGCTCCCAGTCTCTGCGTGCGAGTTTTGGCTGCCGCCCCAACCTGAGCTTCCCCCTCCACTCTAAATGGCTCTCCTCCTACCCCGCTTGATCCGCTACTCCCACTCTGTCCTTCTCTCCCACTGTCCTTCTCTCCCACCGCCCTTCTCTCTTTCCTTGACATTATCACCACTTCCCTCTCCTCCAGCCTGGGCATCCTCCCCCGGGCCCATCATGGCTCCCGGCACTGGCTGTCCCAGAGCAGCAACTCCAAGTGTCCCATCATTCACTCTCTCCGCACAAACCATCTCCTTAAGGCAAACACAACTTCCCCCTCCTTCTTATGTACCCTTCCCAACTCTCCACTCCCCCCGCACTCCACAGCCATCTCTCCCGTACAACCTAAAATCCTCTCTACATCACTCTCTCCTCCCTCTCCTTCCAACAGCAAACCCACCCACATTTCTCTTCAAAATGTCCGTTCCCTCACAAACAATACCCTCACCATCCATGATCTTTGTCATTCAGAACTCTGCAGCTCGTGTACTGTCCCGCACCAGGCTTCGGGACCACATCACTCCCACCCTCGCTCGCCTCCACTGGCTCCCCATCCCCCAGAGGATTGATTTCAAGATCCTCATCCTCACCTACAAGGCCATTCACGGCCTTGCTCCCTCCTACCTCTCCAACCTACTATCCCCCTACCTACCTGCCCGTACCCTCCGTTCCTCTGGCTCCGGTCTGCTCCACGTCCCCGGCCCCAACCGCCCTACCATCGGTGGTCGGGCCTTCAGCCTCTCAGCCCCCAGGCTCTGGAACTCCATCCCCCAGTGCCTTCGCCTTGCTTCCTCCCTTTCCTCCTTCAAGGCCGGTCTCAAAACCTTTCTCTTTGACCGTGCCTTCAGCTCCCCTCTCGACTCTCTTCCCCCTCCTCGCTCCCTCCCTTCCCTCCCCTCACCCTGACCATTTCCCCCCTCCTTGCTCCCTCCCTTCCCTCACCCTGACCATTTCCCCCCTGCTCGGGTCATGACCCAACTGTACAGCGCCTTGGGACGTCCTCCTGACGTGAAAGGCGCTTTATAAATGGAATCTTGTTGTTGTTGTTGTTGACCTCATCCTGGATGAGCACCTTGACATTCTTGGGCTCACAGAAACCTGGCTCCTCCCAATGACCCCGTACCCCTGGTTGAAGCCTCCCCTCCAGGCTACTCCTTCCACCACACCCTCCCGTCCAAACCAACATGGCGGCGAGGTTGCCCTCATCTCCAAAGCTTCCCTTGGTCTCACCCTCTACCCCTCTGGCTGCTTTCCCTCTTTTGAGCACCTCACCATTTTCCATCCCTCTCTCCCATTGAAAATCCTTCTGCTCTACCACCCCCCTCTTAGCCCCCTGGCTCCTTCCTCTCTGACATCTCTACTCTCCTCTCTTCCCTGTCACCCTGCTCCGAAGGCCTGCTCATAATGGGCGATTTCAACCTCCACCTAATTTCCCCTTGCACGTCTTCTGACTTCACTGCCCTCCTCTCCTCCCTAAACCTCAGCCTTCACATTAATTCACCGACCCACAACCGTGGCCATCCCCTCGACCTCGTCATCACCCACTGCCTTGACATTTCCGACCTTGGCCATCTTGGAACACTTCCTCATCTCCTTCTCCTCTCACATCCCGCTCTCCTCCACCAAGTCCTCAACCATACTTTACCACCCGTGGAAAAGGCTACCCCTTGAGACCCTCACAAAGGCCCTCACATCCTCCAATATCCTATCCCTCTGGCCTTCCACCTGCAGAGATCCTGAAGCAGCTGTCCAGCTGCTCCATGATCGCCTCTTCTCCATCTTCAACTCTCTCGTCCCCCTGAAATCCAGGACCATCTCCAAACCCATCCGATCCCCCTGGTACAATAGTCATCTCCACTCCCTAAAAACCCAAACCCGGCTGCTCGAGTGCAGATGGCAGAAAACTGGTCTGACAGTTACCACCAACCGTAGCTCGAGCATCTCCACAGTTACCACCATTCTTTGACACATGCGAAAACAGCCTTCTGCTCCAACATCATCTTGGAGGCAAAAAGCAATTCCAAAGTCCTTTTTTCCACCACCCACTACGTCCTCCGTGCACCCCCTCAGGCCTCCTCAATCTTCACATCAGATGCCAAGTGCGAGGAGGTCATGGACTTCTTTTCAACCAAAATATATAATATCTGCCAGGCAGCCTCATCCTCCAACCTCTTGACACCCACCACCACCCCCTCTCCGTCCCCCTCACCCTCCCCATCATCAGCTCCTACCACAACCCCCATCCTACATTCATTCCTCCCCATCTCTCCTTCCTCCCTCTCACCCACCATCACTTCAATGAAACCCACCACCTGCTGCCACGACTCCCTCCCCACCAAGTTCCCCCTCCTCTGCCTACTATTGGCTGATGTCATCAACCAGTCCCTCTCCTCTGGATCAGTCCCTACCCCCTCAAAACTGCTGTCATCAACCCCCTCCTCAAAAAACCTTCTGAAGACTTTCTTTTTAACCGCGCCTTTGGTCACCTTCCTCCCCCTCGCCCTGGCTCGGCCCCGGGATCCGTTATTGTGAAGCGCTCTGAGACGCCGTCCGGCGTGGAGGGCGCTGTGTAAATCCAAGTTGTTGTTGTTGTGATTCATAACATTGGTAGCTTTTTGAAATATTATAACATTGAATGTTAATGAATCTACCTTAACCTGATGCTTTTAGTGCCCTATGGGAAATCATTTAGAACAGAATCTGCAGAGCAACTCTGAATTTCAAAGAACTGAGAATTTTATTTTCAATAGAATATATATTTTTTATAGAATGACTTGAGTACCTCTCGAGCCTAGGCAGCATGCTCTTCGTTCATCATAAGTAGGCAACAAAATGATTAACACTGAATATTTACCCTTCAGTTTATTTCATCATATTGAGAATGATTCTGCAATGCTTGATAAATTTACAGACCTTGGCAGGCGACTACAACTTGCTGGCAATAAACACAATGAACTTATCAGTGTGAGCTTATTAGGGTAAAAATAGGTAAACTCACGCAACCAAGGTTGGGACATTTATTAATGATCAGAGAATCACACCCCACCTTCCCTCCCCATGTTCTATATTAGTTCCCTTGATTGACAGTATGGGATTGAATTAAAAAATAAAATAAATATCCAATTTTATAAAAACAAACTCCAGAAGTTAGAGGATTTGCAATAAAATATGTGGGAAATAACTGGGAGAGGAAGCTTACCTTACATTTGGCCCATTTGGTCTTGTTGGAGGTTGCCACGAAACAGCAATGAATGACTCACTGATGGGGGTCACAGCCAAGGAGCTAATGTCCTGGGGGTTTGTAGGGTGAGTAGTGAATCCAGTTGGTAAACTTTCAGTACAGCCCCCTGTGTATCCTCCTCCGCCAGTGCACGCAACAATCGTCACTGAGTAATTAGTGAATGGGATCAAGTTCAGCACTTTGTAGTGCAAGGCTGAGGTGTTAGAAATTTTGACGCGGGGATCTGGCATTCGGATTTCATAGTGAAGGATTTCACCATTGACCATCAGAGGAGGCTGCCAAGTAACCTGCAGAATAATTGAGATATACTTTAACCAGATTCACACTGATGTTGGGGTCATAAATGTCAGTAAGAAATAAGCCAACTGCGCTGCTTTGAACCCGCCAATATTAGTCCCAGGTGGTTTTTAAATAGACAAAAGATTTTACCAAAAAATCTTTGATTTACCCCCATTCTGTTTATTTTAACGGTTTTTGATTCTTGAAATGACTGAGGTAGCTAAGTGACCACTGATGTACTAGCACACACAATGGAACTGGTTTGCACCCATGAACTCCAACAAAGTGAGTCCTTGTGGTACCTGAGCAATCAATGGAATTTGTTTTCTACAGAACGAGAAGAAAAACTGGAGGACAAAAACAGATCTGGCTCTGATGTATGTGTGTGCATATGTGGGGGGGGGGGGGGGGGGGGGGGGGACACTGCATTATAGAATAAAGCAGTAATAAAGCTACACCAAACATTTGAAAGTCAAGAATCAAATGATACTGAATGAAGTGAGAATGGATATCAAGGCAGAAATATAATGAGGGATTTACATGTCCCACAAATCACAAGAACAAAGCTCAAACAATTTGTGGCTCATCTGAAGACTGAGGCTGAATTACTGGCTGTAATCATCCGCCACCAACCCTGGATTTGTTCTAAGATCTGTATGGAATTATTTAACCTCTGCTATTGAAGCTCTCTTTAGGCTGCTTCCATTGTGGATTATCATAGAATAAACATAGGACTTCAAATGAATTTGGGTTGTTGAGATGCAGGATAACATGGAACCTCAAGTCCTTTCGGGTGTTGAATTAAAAAGCAATTCATCAACTTCTGGATTATTTAGAACAACAATGGATCGGACTTTGAAAATAATCAACAATGTTCAAAAAAAAGTCCCACTCAAAACATATAGGATTCTCAGAACTACCTGCAAGAAGAGGAAATTGGAAAAATAGACAAGACACAAATGCCAGCTGTCACCTTTGCCTGATCTGATAAAAGCAGCTACAAAGATTGCTCTCTTTCCTCAACACCTCCCCCCCACACACACACAAATACACACCAGACAACAGTAGACAGTGGGGAAGGAAAGAAGGATTGGAAATCATTTTCCAGGTAAGTGAAAAACCTCCTGTTCAACTGTGCTCCCTGATCCACTGGAATTCTTCATCACAGGGGAAAGAGAAAGGACTGCTGAGGTTGGTAAGCAGATGGATTTTATCCAAGAGCACTTTAATTGGGCACTTGCAATATTCTGTGGTCAAAATGCGTCTTCTGAAGCTGTGATAGATCACAGTCACCTGACAGATGTCTTCAATCTGTCAAGTATTAAAAGTAGCTGTGCTCATAGTCAAACCACATGAATTCAGAGTGGAGTCAGCTCATTTTATGTATCATGCACCTTCGCTATGTTGATCTATAGTAATCTAAAATTGTGTGTTTGGTGCCAAAAAGTTATTTTTGTATAGAGGCTTCAAAATGTTTGAAAGCTATTTCTGCAAAATCTGAACAAAATGGATCTCACGAGTATAGCTGTCACTCGTGGGAACATCCAAGAGGTGATTCAAAAAAATAATAAGGGAACAAGGCAAACCCTCTTTCCAGAAAGTAACAGAATCCTCTCTTCCTTTTTTGAAATGTTGACTTAAGCTGTACTTTGTATAATGAAGAATGTATGGACAATTAAAGCTTGTTTCAATGGGTATCCGGACACAGAATAATAATAATAATAATCCTTGCATTTGATATAGTGCCTTATCATGTCTTCAAGACGTCTCAAAGCGCTTCACAGAATATACAGTAAAGTGAATTGACTGTATATTTTGTGGGCAAAACACAGCAGCCAATTGTGCACAGCAGCGTCCCACAAACAGTCATGGATTTAGTGACCAAATAGTTATTATTTTTTTAAAAGAGATTATTACCCTTGGAAAAGCAATCTGCCAATCAACTAACAACCGGGTTTCTACTAACAGCTAGCTAAACAGAGGTGTGTGGAGTAAGGAAACACAGGGTGCAAAGAGGAATTAAAAGGTCAGTTCCTTCAGTTTAGAAAACCTCACTCCCTTAGGCAAGAATAGTTCTGTGCCATTCAATCTGGATTTTATGCAAAATCGGAGAGAAAAGTCATCTCACGAAGTTGACTGAGAAAACAAACAGCTATCTTTTTGGTCCATCTTTATGAGGTGCTGAAGGGCAGGCTGTGCCTGTGGAATCGTACCCCAGCAAGAATCAGTGCCTCGGGGAATGGGTGAAATAGGCAAAATAAAGAAAGTGATGCTTAAACTATCTGAAGAGACAGAAAGATTGTCACTAGCAAATCAAGTTGTGCTGGTGTGGTAAAATATGAAGTTAAAAATTAAATTATATTTATGCATTTAAATTTTGCGAAACAAAAGTAAGTTTGAAATAACATAGTTGCACTTTTTTCAAATATAGCTTTAATGCTTAAGAAAATCCCAAAACTATTTTAATTTATCCTTAATTTAATTTGACAAACAAAGTTGGGGCTCTCATATAAAAGTGGCGCTCTCATACAAAAGGCTCCAGTGCAATATTAAGCACAATATTTTAAATTAGGAAAAAAAAATTCTCACGCTATTGGAAAGTTTCCCCTACTTTAAGGTTTGTTAGGTTTTAAAAACATAATGATTGTCACTGTTGCAATTTTGGAGCATCAACATTTAATTTGTTAAATTTAAATTTAATCAGGGTATCAAAGGTTCCTTCCTTTTTACACGACCCTTTTAACAATGATCTTTGAGAGAGACAAATTGCAATGACACCACATAATAATTCTACTGTTTCATATTGAGCATAAATGGAACACAACTTTCCAAATAACTCAATCTACTTTTTTTAATGTGTATTGTTTTAATATGTAAATGTATTCAGTAATATCCTTGGGAGAACCAAACACCCCTAAATCTGGCATTGATACAAATCAAATTCCAAAGAAGCATCTGGCAATTGAACAAACTGAAACCAATTTGCTTCAATATTTCCTTGATTTGAACTTAGGGAGAAGTCAATCTCTTCAGGGCACGTTTGTTCTCTGTAGGTAGGATGTGCCACTGAAAGTTTATAGAGATTTGAAACACTTCATTCCCAAACATTGGGGTAGCTTTCAAACCCCTGGCTCTAAAAAAAAGGTTTATTCAAGAGATTGTAATAAATATCTGCATCCTTCCAGAATAACAACTTTCCACTATAACAACAACAACTTGCACTTATATAATGCCCTCCACACAGAGTAGCGTCTCAGAGCGCTTAACAGTGGCAGCGCCTGACTCTGAGCCGGGGGGAGTGGGGAGGTGGCTGTAAACACTGTCAAAGAGGAAAGTTTTCAGGCAGGACTTGAGAGAGGGGGCAAGGCATATATTTATAAACAATTATACTATTTGCTTGTTTATGTAAGTCCAGTGCCTTAAACCTGTTCCAGCTGTTGATTACCCATTTTGTAAAGAAAAGCTCTAAGTGTCTATCCTCAAACTTCTCTTCACAATCCTGAACCCCTTTTCTTGCCATGGCATATCATTGTATTATTCTGGGTTCATTTTCATGATCTGATGCAAATTATAATCCTGACCCCACTATGGTTGACCACTTCCAAGTTCTCTTTCCATTCCATCCTTGGCTTCCTGGGCAAAGTCCAACACAAAATTTAAGAATCTCTTCCTCATCCATCATGCTTAAATAACTAGCTTAAAATAAGCACAACCTAGTTGTCTCCTCCATTTTCTCACTCCATCCATCCTATGATTTTCTCCTTTTATTTGATAAGAGCTTGTGCCTGAATTTCAAGCCTTCCTACAGCTGTCTTGGATCCTTTTGCCTTTGTCAATCCAACCCATTGTAACATTTCACAATCTGTTGATGATGTAACAGATGCCTCTTTGTACAGTATATTCAATCATTTTTTAACATCTACTATGAAGAGGCTCCTTCCCAAGTCCATTGCTTCAATTCTGAAGAAGGGGCTTAGTCAAAACGTCAATCTATCTTTTTTCTTTCAGATTCTGATCGACACCCTGTGGATTTGCAGCATTTTTCTGTGTTTTTTTTATTTTGATCTTTGAAGTTTCCTTTTTAACTCATTGAACGGTCTTCCGTGCATCGACTAGCAAGCACATCATATTGAATGACAACCCCACCAGAACCAGCACATCCTCTCTATAAAGCTGGCATGATAAATGTAGGAAAATAATCTAGGAGTCGTTCTCCTGAGCCTGAAACAAAATCAAAAGAAACAAAGTGGAACCTTAATTATCTGCCAATTTCAATTATCCACTGGGGGGCTTCTTTCTGACAGTGCAGCTGAGATTAGGACCTTGAGGTTAAAGAAACTTCAGATGAACCTGCTATTCTGTGCTAGCGAGCATTGATGTACCAAAGCACGGCACAGAGTTGCATCAAGAAAATTAAGCAATATTCTCAAACAGTGTAACTTATTGAAGACTATACAACAGGAACTTGCATTTATATAGCTCCCTTCACGCGGGGTAGCATCTCGGAGTGCTTGTTACACGCTGCAGTAAACTTGATTTTAACAAAATAATAATGCTGACATAAATTGTTCTTTTATTGGTGACACTTTGACACACCAATGATGGTAATGTTGAAGCTGGAAGTTAAAGTAAATCAATTCTACATTTATTTGGATGGAAAAAAAATAATGAACATTCCAGTGAACTTACCTGCACTGAATTTGGTTCTAAAGCCTGGACCTGGGGTGGTTGTATCCCAGTGGGTCTCGAAGGTCTTGTAGTAACTTGAGCCCAGGCACTGGTGTTTGTTCCTCCATTGACGGTGCTAACCAAGATCCTATATTCATAGGTGGTCCATGGGTTAAGGGCTACAGAATGATCCACGTATCTCATGGGCTGCTCAACCTTTGTGGTCACGAGGGTGGAGATTTCTTCTGTCCCCTTAATCTTCCTCTCTATCACAAAGCTGTCAATAAGACCATTGGGCTGGACTGGCTCTTGCCAAGATATGAGCACTGAGGTTGGGGTGTCAGAATAAAGTTCTGGTTTAGGAATATCTTCAGGGGCATCGGGGAGAGTTTGAACCAAATGTGACTCTGGTGACAGAGAACATCCCACTGCCGTGCAACACTCGACTTGGAAAATATAGGAAGTATATGGTCGTAAATGGGATACAGTATATCTAATGCTGTGACCTGATAGTTGGACTCGTCTGGAACCATTCTGGTAAACACTGCAATGAGTGATATTACCATTCGGCTGCGATGGGTGTTGCCACATGACTAACAGACTTTGAGACTTGACATCCAACAAAAAGGGTGGATCCATCAGCCCTGGCCCTGAAAGAAATTGAAAGATGAGAATTAATTTCCAATCCATCGGTTTTATTTTACAGTTGTCTTCATTTTTGCCCCCACAGGTTCCGTGTGAGAGTGCAAAGCTGGCAGGCAGGTGTTCACCTGCATTCATACCTCAGTGAATTCTCCTCCTTAGCTGGTCATTGGGAGCTGCATGAGAATTGGCCAGGGTCTCACCTTCAGAAATTCCCCCCCCATTCCCCTTTCCTCCCTGTGGGGATCTGCACTGCAGCGTCTCCCAGCAGCATATGTGAGATCAAGAAATTCCCATGAAAGGGGAATTGTCTGCTTAAATCTTCATCTTGTCTTAAATGTAAATTGTTTTGTATTGCATTGTATCTTACCACTCCACACCCTTATATGCAACAGTATATGATAATCTTATTAATCCTTACATTTAATGGACAATACACAGTCACTCCACTTTACAGTATATCCCATGTGATGTAATCCTGAAGTGAAAGGCGCCATACCAAATGTAAGAATTATTATTATTATAATTATTATTATAGCACATCAGAAGAACGTCTCAAAGCGTTTCACAGGATATATTATAAAGTGTAGTGTTTTGTTAAAGCAGTCTTGTATCTAGAAATTTAAATTGCATATTTTTGCTTTTTAATTTTCTGCTTCATTATTTTCCCCTTGGCCTCTGAAGGCGATCTGACTCACTTTTTATTTTTACTTAGACTCAATAGGCACCAAGTGCCCTGTGGTACCTTGCAAGGCTTCACACTAACAGGCAGCTGAATAGCGTGATCAGTGAGACAGAAGTCAAATGCCATGGATTTGGCATCACAAATGTCACCATTGACTGCCATTTCCAGGAGCGGAAGGCAGGGGGTAGAGCGGAAGGTAGGAGGGTTCACTTCTCGATGAGCACTGACATTAAGAATTGCTCACTGCACATGAATTAAAACCATCTAATAGATCTGTGTGTTTGAACTACCATTATTAAGCATGTAAAAACTTACATTTCTGACTAGAGTTTTATGACACTATTTCTCTAATGTCCAGCAACGTGTGTATTTTAAAAAGTATAGTTTTGAAATGTCAATTGATAGCGAAACAATTGAAACACCCGCCTCACAATACTCTACTTGTAACCTGCACATTGCTGCAATGTATCACAGAATTAGGGTACGGTTGGATTTAACAATTCAAAGTAGAGCAAAGGATATGTAAATTGTTTGTAAAAGATCAGATTTCATCTCCTTTGTGGGTTAAAAGTGGGAAGAACACATTTTCATTTCATAAACTGGCTGAACTGAGTAGTTGCGTATCATTCACTCAAGAGACAATTTCCTTTCAGACAATTCAATACTGATGATTCTTCACATGGAGTTTTAAACCACAATTTTACATGTCCTATGTTAAATAATATATTAACTTGGGGTTCTTATTTACGGTATTTCTGTTCAGGTTTCTTACTAAGAAAAGTATAATTGACAAATATGTAAGATATTTTGGAAAGTCAATAATTACCCAATTCTTAGTAAGAAACCAGTCATAAAATAGTGCAAATTAGACCCTATTGCTTGAATTACTCCCTTTTTCTTCCTTGGTGAATATATATGCATGCATAATATTTGATTGCTAGCTCTATAATGGATACACAGAGAGCACTTGCCAAGCAAGATACAGCAAACATTAACATAAATTCATCTGGTGCTAATTTGCAATACGAAAAGACTGCAAATGACAGCTTCCTTAAAACAATAATCAGAAGAAAAGGTTTCTTTCTTTGCACATTAGAATCATTGCGTTGCTCCAATCATAACTGAAAACCATTTGCAATACAATTTTGCTGGCCCATAAATGACAAAAAAACAAAAATAATAAATTCAGGCGGTGCAGACCACCAGACATTTCTCACAAAGGGTTAAACTACAACAGACTAGATGGGAAAGCATATTTTGCGAGATGTCACTCATTTCTAAAACAGTTAATATTACGCATGCAAATTCTCTTGACTGGACCAGCAGGTGAGTCACCTCATGACAGCAGGGTTTTCAAACTGGAGAGCGAGGTAAAACTGTCCAGCTCAACTCATACCTCCTATTGACCAAATGTACAGCAACATTTGGCAGCAGTCACAGAGAGGCTGACAGCTTCGACCGCTTTTCCTGACTGAAGCGGGACGTGATATATGGAGGTGGGGGTTGGAGTTTGGGGAGATGATGGTGGTGGTCGGTGGTGGGGGAGAAGAGGAACGGCCCAGGTGGAAAATAGGAGTACAGGAGGGGGAGGGGGGCAGGGGATGAGGAGTCCAACTGGAAAGCATAAATGTAAATAATAAAGTGCGCAATATCACAGTTGGGTTAATAGAAAAAAAACAATACATCATAGCCCTTGTTCATTATTCTTAGGTTTTATCGCTTGGAATGATGGGCAAATTCCAGACAGTTCTTCAGAACGCTCAATAGTCTGCTTATACATCGGGTTAATTTAGAACACACCTCATTGTTCAAGTTCAAACTGTCAGGAAGGAACGCCAGCATTTCTTAGCATTCATGTGTTTATCATGCTAATCCTGCTTTTGGCATTCATCTACTCTGTGTTAATATTACAGATGATTTTGCTGGGGCTATGACAGGGCCTGCCGATTTAGCCCCTTGCTCGTTGATAAATAAACATTGCACACATCTGACCTTTAGGTTAACAGGTTTTTATGCTTGCTCCACTCAACACTGTTACTGATTCAATTATCAGAAAGGTTCAAGTGCCTTCATGAATACTGAAAGATTCCACCGTATGCCTGTATAGGTGTTATGGAACAGCAAATTTGATGCAATTCTCCTGAGAAATTCTATAATTGTAAATAATTTTACCACATGAGACAATCAAGTCACCTTGAATGCAAACCCCTGGTCTGCTGAGGAATGTGTTATTTAAGCTTTACTGGTCTGTGTTAAATTCTGCAATTTGAAGGGCTGTTAAGTTGTTCAATTGAAATTTCATTTAAAATGCAGCGCTTTTTATTTCATTGATGCTTTACTGCTCTCAAGGTACAAGCAGGAACTTGGTGCAATAATGCAAGTCCAGCTCAATCAGTGATCAGTAACTGCCATCATTCCAGGGCATTCAATACACTTATAAACTAGATGTTGCAATCTATAAATTGCCAGCCATCCACTAAGCAATGATTACACAGCTCCATTTCTGCCGATTGCAGTTTATGACATTTGTATAAATTTTTAAAAACATTTTTTAATAAAAAACAAGATGTTTTGGGGATGACATTAATTCTATTGTTCATATTAGATTTGGCAAGTTAGAAAATAAATATGAAGCTTCTACAATTTAAAGCATTTTTGTTTTGATTTTTTTTGCTGGTTTGTACAGTGACTGATGCTGTAAAAAATGAAGGATATTCTGTATAGACCCAAGATATGGTCCATTAGTGTGTATGAAGTGTTAGGTCCTAAAATATCATTGTATGCATGTCTTGCCTGTCTGACTCATACAGAAATGTATCAGCCAAGCTACAATGAAGTAAAACATCTCGTACCAACTGCCTCTGCTGACTGAATATTTGAGAGAGTATTATCCTACTTGGAATCGGGGTATTAATAGCACTTTATAGTTGGCTTGCAATTTTAGCTTGTTAACTCTTCAAAAAAAATTGTTCTGAAAAGACAACAAACGGAATGGCAGAATTCTAAAGATGATTTTGGCAGCTTTTTGAATTCTTTCCAGGCGTATGTGCCAGCAGTATCAATTCCATCAATTATACTGTTGTGCTGAAGTCAACACTCTGTCAATCTCTAAAAGGAAACTCTCCAATAAAAATAAACATCAGTGCAAATACTGGTGTAGAAAGTGATCAGGGTACATATAAGCAATTTATTAAAGGTGGATTACTCTTTCAAAGAAAGGATGAAATACAGCTCGCAAAAAAAAATACTCAGATTCAGAAGACTTCCAAATTCACTGGTCCTTTCTCTGTGAAGGTGTTTTTGTCTGTGTGTGTTTGTCTGTGTTTATTTGTGTTCATTGAGGAGGGTAGGTCACTTATGAGTGAGTGCGTCCCCAAAAGATCTTGACACCTTCCATCAACGTAAAAAAAAGCCATTGACTTAAATGAATCTCCAAGCGATAAACAATACAATGTGGAAAAAAAATCTGAGGATTTTTAGGCTGCTTTACCATTTCTTAGCACGTAAAGAAATAACTAGATACAAGTCCAGCTGAGGGCTAAACCTCTGGTCAGAGACAGCACGTCAATCAACAGCTGCATCACTGACTACACTAACTGGGGAATTCTACAATTCCCCCCAGCTCAAACTAATAGTGATTTTGCAAAAACTTCTAACTAGGTAAAATCTAATTGAGGATTTCAGCACTCCCCTCCTCCCTATAGCAGAGGGAGCATTTACTCAATGATGACTCCCTGAGGAGTAAAGACTTCTCTGGTTAAAACTAACAATTAGTTCGCAAAGAATTTCACGAAGAACTAAATAATTCTAAAATTCGAAAATCGTGCCTCCCGGTTGCAAGATAGAACCTATTAACAACTAGAAACTAAGAAACTATCCCTACACTTAACTAAATGATGACGGTAATAGAAAAGCAAATAAATCCTGTCTGAGGCTAAAAAGAACTCCATGGGGAAAGATACACACAGACTTAAGGACCAGAGACATATAAATCCTCCTGACCTGGACTCAATGCTTTAGGTGGTCTATGGGGAAGGAACTGAAATCAGCCTCAATTATGCCCAGAGAAATCTGTGAATGTTTCAGGCTCAGAATTTAAGGGGAAACTGTCCAATAGGTTTGGCCGCATGTAACAACTGCAGCAATTTGATTATCCAAATCCCACTTACACAATCTGAATAATTTAGGTTGTTACGTTTTTTATTTGCTGTTAACTGATGTAGATCCTCGCTGGAGATTATTCTGGGTCCATGAGTTCCAGGTAGTGAAATGGTGGATGTGGGTTTAAGCGTTCTTCTCCTCAGTTTGAGAAGTTTAGTGAAT